GCCGATATCGGGTTCTTGACAATCTTTATGTTTCCCAGTCACCTAGGAGAATATTCTGGTAAATATTAGACCTCTAGCAAATATTTGTTCAAAGACTGAATAACAATAGTTATCATTTATAGATCATCTGCTATATGCCAGACACCACATTATCTCATTTAGTTCTTTCAACAACACTCTAAGTAGCAAGAATTATTACTATCACCAGTTTACAAATTACGTATTAAGAAAATTTAAGCAACTGTCTCAAGGTCACATCACAATCTATGTGATGAAGCTGGGACTTGAACTGAGGTCTGGCTAGTTCCTTGGTTCCCTTTCTTTCCTTCAGTGCTGTCTACAAAACCAGACCAGACTAGGATGCTGCTATATTGACTCTGTAGGAATTTATTTATTTTTTAACTTTCTAGCTTAAACCCTGTGTGTGTGTGTGTGTGTGTGTGTGTGCGCGCGTGTGTGTATAAACCGATTCCTCCTCTAACCCCTAGAGTGGTGAGTTAGCATCTGAAGTGGCCTAATCAGAAATCTGCTCTCCAGAGCTTGGTTACATAAGCACTTCAAAGGCCATCATCTATACCCGAGAGCTTAACATGCTTGAGAGATACTAGAAATAAACTTTCATTGGTGAAATAAGTGGTTTCCACAATATGGAGCTGGCCAGGGAGATTATCTGAGTTCTACTGCCCTGGAATTATAAAGTTGAAGAATTGGACCAATATAAGCACATTTGGCAGAATTTGGCCTTAGACTTAAATTTTTAATATCCCACCTGTAGGAGGTAAGAGGAGAGAAAACAAATGGCCTTCACTCACCTTTCATTTCCTGTAACTGCTAATGAAAGAACTATATTATCACCAAAGGGCCAGATTGGTTCAGACCTGTTGGCACTGGATGCCTATCCAGGCCTCATCCCCCTCTTACAAGAGCACTCCAACTGATCCTTTTACCAGAGCTGTAAGGACATTCTTCCCATCTCTCTGATCTCCATCGGCAGGTCACTTGTAATAAGCTAACATCCAACAGAAATGAGCTTCAGGTGTGGTGGTGAATACCATTTCTCCATGGATCCTTTGAAGGCTCTGGGGGCCTTTCCAACAGATGTCTGAGGTCCCCGGCACTCACCCCAACTGTACCTGTTGTCCTCTATCTCTTACCACAGCATCAACCAAAGATGGTACTCAAGATGCCTTTTTCTTTATTTTGACTTTGCAAATTCCCTCTYTGCTGTGGTGACTCCCTCATAATCCTGTCTTTACCTCCAACTCTTTTTTTTTTTTTAAGAGAGAGAGAGAGAGAGAATTTTAAAATATTTATTTATTTATTAGTTTTCGGTGGACACAACATCTTTATTTTATTTTTATGTGGTGCTGAGGATTGAACCCAGCGCCCCTCAAATGCCAGGTGAGCATGCTACCACTTGAGCCACATCCCCCAGCCCCTATCTCCAACTCTTAAATGTTCTGCCCTCAAAGGTAGCTACCTTAGGACATAATTTTCCCATTTTAAAAGACAAAGCAGGCAGGAAGCAAGGAGGTGGTTTTTTCCAGCTCAATGAATGAAAGGAAGAGAGGGAATAAGAGAGGATCATCAATGTCAGTTGATTTTATTGTCTCAATATGGCCAGTAGTCTCAATTCCATGGAAATCTTATATGAAATGTGCTTTAACACAGTGTCTGAGCCAGGAACTGTGGTGCATGCCTGTAATCTCAGCAATTTGGGAGGCTGAGGCAGGAGGATTACAAATTTGAGGACAGCCTTGGCAATTTAGTGAGACCCTGTCTTAGAATAAAAAATGAAAATGGCTGGGGAAGTAGTTCAGTGGTAGAGCACCCTTGGATTGGATCTCCAGACCAAATAAATAATAAATCTAAAGACTCTTAATTCCAGGGTTAAGTTAGAGGTGGGCCAGTTTAGAGGTCCATAGGGATGAATACTTGGGGTGCACTGGTGGTGGGGGGCTGTAATTGAGGGTTTCCCAGACCTTTCTAGTGCCAGAATGGCTGCCTCTGCTAATTAGAGATCACCAATGGGGGAGGTAGCCAGAGGACCTTGGGAGGGAGGCAGGCAGGACATTTCTGGGATGCCATTTTGGAGTAGCTGGAGTCAGGCAGAAGGGGCAACCTCAGCAAAGAAGGCTGGTGGAATAGAATAGAACTCTATTCTGCCTTCAAGTGTCCCTGCTGGCCTTGTTATGCCAGGGTCCAGGCTGTGGACCTCTGGAGTCTCTCTCCCTCTGGAGCAGAAGAGGAGACAAGCCCATTCTCCTGCAGACATCCATTCACTCTGGTGAGGACCAGGCAGGGACTAATGCTACGAAACACCACCATAGAGGATATTATTGGAACTACTGGGGAAATTTGAATATGGCCCATGTAGTATGTGATAGTATTATATCAATATTAAAATTTCTGAATATGATAATATGATAATATTAGGGGATCATCCCTGTTCCTAGGAGATACATGCTGAAATAGAGGTAAAGGATTATGATGTGTACAACTAACTCTCAAATATATATATATACACACACACATACACACACACATACATACACATACACACATATATGTATATGTATATATATATCCCTTTTACAAATATATGTAAAAGTAAATGTGGCAAAATGTTAAAAGTTGGTAAATCTCAATGAGGGTATATAAGTATTTAATGTACCATTTTTGCAACTTCTGTAAGTTTGAAATTTTCAAATAAAAAAAGGAAACTGCCTGGAGTAGTATCACATGCCTGAAATCCCAGGGACTTGGGAGGCTAAGAGGATCACAGTTTTGAGACTAACCTCAGCAATTTAGGGAGCCTTAAGGAACTTAGTGAGACCCTGTCTCAAAATTAAAAATAAAAAGGGTTGTGGATGTAGCTCAGAGGTAAAGCACTGCTAGGTTCAATCTCTAGTACCCAAACAAAACAAAACATAAAACAAAACAAAACAACTGACTGGGGAAAAAAAAAAGATAAGGAGACCGAGTCCCAGAATGAGTAAGGTATTTGCCCAAGTTTACAGAGCTGAGATAAAAAGAGCTCAAAGCAAGGAGGAAGTCACATGGTGGACTCTCTGGCTTTCTTGAATCTTCCTATGGGCCAATACTGTTTACAACCCTTCGCATACACTAATTCATCTAATGTTCCCTTTTGAAAAGTTTGTGCTTTGTGATAAATCACTTCATTGGCACAGGTTGGAGGGAACAAACAGGAACTGGAACATGTTGACAGATGTGTAAATTGGTGCAGGTTTTTTTGAGGGCCATTCAGCAGCACTTATTGGAATTTAAAATTTATGTTATGTTTAAAGCCAGTGATTTCACTTCTAAGTATTAAACCAAAAAGAATGTCATATACCTGACCAGGAAGTGTGTACAAAGGTGTTCATCATAGCAAGGTATATAAAAGCCTAAAAGTTGGAAACATCTTAAATATTCTTCATTAGAAATATTAGGAAACCATCAAAAAAAAAAAAAAAAAAAAACCAAACAAACAAACAAACAAAAAAACAAGGCAGCTCTTACAGTGCTACCCTGTCACACTTCTAGCCAACAGATGATAATGATGAGGGGACAAAAAACAAGGGCTGCTTCTTCCTGAGTGTTAAAAGGTGAATGTGAATACATAAATACATTCATATACATGAATGTTTTATATACACACAAATATGGAATACACATACACACACATATAAATACAAAATACTTAAGTACACATAAAATATCTTATGTGTACAAAACAAAAACAGTAGCCTTGCTGGAAAGGGGTGATCTGAGAGACAAGGGACAAGATAGAAGAAAGACTTTTTCTTTCTTAGCCTTCTGTATTATTTGAAATTCATACTATGTGCAAAGCTAATAAATTAATGAATCTCCCCTTTCCAAAATCCACAGGACTTGCTTTTCAGCTGAGGCAAATTCTTAACTGTTGAAGGGGACAGCAGAGGACATTCTCCCCACAAAATAGGGCCTTGATCTATCTCAATAAAGCCATTTGCAAGTTCACCCTTCTGAGTCCTGTTGGCCCAGTTTGACAACTTTCCTTGGTATTTGGACTCTCAAATTGTGCGTGAGAATGGCCTGGGCTGCTTGTTCCTTGGGCAATTCACCAGTCCCACCCCTGGGGATTCACATTCAAACCTGGGGTGGGGCCAGGGACTTTTCACTAATGCCTTTTCACTTTCTTCCACTTGGAGAAACAGGTCCTGGTGGTGTTTGCTTCTGTTCAGGTCTTGCTGAGATACAGTCTACAGGGCTGGGGAAGAAAACTCTGTGGGTTTTGTTGTTGTTTGTTTTGTTGGTGCTGGGGATGGAGCCCAGGGGTTGTGCATGCTAAGCATGCCCTCTACCTCTGAAGTACACCCCAAGCCAAGACAGCTGTTCTTTCGTTCGTTTCCATTATTCTCATCCCATACCCACCTAAATAAATATTAATGTCCAGACCCATCTGGGTATGGGATCATATAACTGAAGGACTGCAAATGCCTGAGGGACCAAGTCTCACTGATTGAGTGTCCTGCTTGCCTTTCTCCTTTAAAATAAATAACGTACGTGAGCGATTAAGTTACCCTCCGGGCTGTGGTGACTTGCTTTCTCTCTCTTTCTCTAAACTACAAATCAGGAGGCAGACCATTGGAAATTAGGACTTCTGTTCCAAATATCCTGGCGTAACATTCTCACAGGTGGCCAGACAAACGCTGGAACCTTCTTCGGGGGAGGGTCAGGTCTTGTCCCCCGTCCTGCGAGAGTCCCACTCTATCTGGGGGCGGAGCACACCCTTGCAGGAGCTGGCGTGGCCCCCACAGGGAGCTCGGGACCGCAGCCCCCCAGACCCCAGCGCCCCCCCCCCCCCGGTCCCCGCCGGCCCGGGACGAGCCCGGCGGTGTGGAGAAGTGGGAGGCTGGAGGCTGCTGAGGTCATTTCCTGTGCCTCTCCGCGAGCTGCCTGCGGAGCCGAGCCCGGCACCGGCCTTTAAAGAGCGGGAGGGAGCAGGGGGCGGAGGGAGCCCAGCGGAGCGTTGAATGGGGCGCAGCGAGGCGCGGCCGGGCTTTGTGCAGCCAGCCCGCGGGCACCCTCCAGGCTCCGGCCTCGCTCCGCCCCGCCCACCGCGACCCCTGCTGCCGGGGAGCGGAGACCCGGCAGCCGCTCGGGACTCCGGCGAGAGTGACGCAAGGTCAGCGGCGGCTGCGCGCCCAGGGCGCCCGTGTGCTGGGGGTGCGGCGCCGACGCCCGCCGGCCAGCTGAAGGTGAGGCTCTGCGCTCCCTGGCCAGGGGCGGGCTGGGGTGTGCGGACCCGGGAGGGCGGTTGGCCGGGAGGAGGGGACCGGCTCCCCACGACCGGGACTGCGATTCCGGAGCAGGTGCCTCCCCACCTGGAAGCGAACTTCCAGCGGCAGGCTGCGCTGGGAGCCGCGGGTCAGGTTTGGAGAGCCAGGTGCCCCTGGAGAGCCGCGCCGCAAGGCCAGAGCTAGCCCTCCTTGGAGGACCTGTAGTTTGGGACCGGCTCGATCCAGTTGCTCCCCGGAAGGGCCCTCCGGACGTACGTGCAGGCATCTATGTACCTTGTCGGTCGGTGCTCGGTGCGCCTTCGCCTCCCCTCCACCCCCGGATCCCCTTCCCTCCCCACCTCTTTTTAGGCTATTTCTAATGTGATTCTGGATGTTCTCTTGGGGGTCAGGTTCAACTCCTGGGGGCAGGTCAGCCAAGCAGAAAAGAAAACAGGCTGGGCGCCCAGTTACATCAAGGGCTTTGTATCCTAGGCGTCTTTGTAATCAGTCCCCAGGGATCAGGGTCCTTTGGGGTGACAGGCAGTTGAAGATCTTCAACTGGAAGTAGAATCCTCTCGCTGTTGTATTGCTCCCCACCAGCTATCCCCTCCATAAGCTTTCACCAGGAACTTTCCAACAGTATTGGTTCCAGGAAGACACTTGAAAAATCATTGAAACAGTTCTCAGTGAGACAGTCGACAGGCCCATCATCAAATTTGTTGGATTCTTCTATGCCAGACATGTATGGCAGTGATACTTTATAGATCATTTATTGCAGTGTTGCTGCATATTATTATCCCCACTTCATAAAGGAGAAAACTAGGACTATAGAAGTAAGTTATGACTTGCCCAAGGTCATACAACTAGAGTGGAAGAAGCAAGACTTAGACCTAAGCCTTCTAAATTCCAAATATGGGGATTGGTTAACTATCCATTGTCCTCCCTCTAGGCTACAAAGGGAACTGCCCAGAGCTGGGTTATGGTAGGGTGCACCCAGTTGTCCCAAGCACATTTAAACTAATATCTGAGCTGAAAAAAAAAATGTGCCCAAGTGTGCCCCTTTTGCCCTCTTCAGAAGTCACCTCTTCAGGAAAGAAGTGTGTCCCTCCAGTTAATGTTCCACTCCCCCAAGGTGCTTTCTTCTTTGCTGTTCTCCTTATCTCTAGGCTATTTCTAATGTGATTCTGGATGTTCTCTTGGGAGTCAGGTTTGACTCCTGGGGGCAGGTCAGCCAAGCAGAAAAGAAAACCTCTGTGCTCCATAGAGGTTGGAGAATGCTTTATTCAGGTGAATATTAAGGTGCTGGGATTCCCTCATGCTTGCTTTGGGTGACTTCACAGAAGGCTGTGCTGAACCACCATCCTGTGTTCTCTGGTAAGCCTAGCTGTGCCTTCTTGCCTTTTCAAAAGCTAGTTCAGGCTATATCAGGAGGCAGAGGCAGGATAGCAAGTTCAAGGCCAGCCTTAGCAGCTTAATAAGATCCTGTTTCAAAATTTTAAAGAGGGCCTCAGCTTTTTAGCTCAGTGGTTCAGGCCCCAGTACTGGGGGAAAAAGAAAGAAAGAAAAAAAAAGAGAGAGAGAGAGAGAGAGAGAGAGAAGAGAAGAGACACAGAGAAATAAAACAAGCTAGTTCGAACTGCCCTCTTCTGTGGGGAAACAGGCACTTATTGCTGGCTGAGGTATGAATTAGTATAGCCTCAAGGGAGGACACTTTGGACTATCTGGCAATTTAAAATGCACATCACTTAACCCTACAATTTCATTTCTGGGACTGCCCTTTAAGATATACCCTGATGTATATGAAATGATGCATATTCATTGAATATTCATTACAGCATTGTTTATTTTAGCAAAAGGTTGGAAACAACCCAAGTGACTATCAATAAAGGATCCTTAAAGAAGATCATGTAATAGCTATCCAGTAGAATACATTAAAGCTGTCGTGCAGTATGGAAGAAGAATGTGGCAGAGATGTATATTAATGTATGAAGACTTCAGAGTTATATTGTTAAGTATGGTGTGTATAGTGTGGCACCATTTGTGTGTGCAGAATGTACATGAATGTTTGCATATGTCCTGGATCTCCCTGAAAGAACACAAAACACCCTAACAATAGTTGCCCCTGGGAAGAACTATGGCTGAAGTATAGAGGTGGGAAGGAGTCTTATTTTGAAGCTTATATCATTTTGTTCAATCTTCAAAAACAAATAGATAAGATAATTTTTAAAAGGAACATGACCTCCTCTCTGAGGTGGTGCTGGTAGTGAGCACATCTATGAGTCACATCTTGTACATTCAGGGCCCAGCTGGCTTGCCTTGTATTTGTTGATAGTAACAATAGCTGTCACTTACTGACTGCTTACTAGAGATAGAGACCAGGCTTTTGTAGTGTCTCCTTTAATTCTTTTGTTGTTGTGCTGGGGATTGAACCCGTGGCTTTGTGCATGTGAGGCAAGTCTTCTACCAACTGTGCTGTATCCTCCGTCTCCTTTAATCCTTAAGGGAATCCTGCATGATGTGATCTATGAGGTTGCCTTTTTTCCACCTGGTACTAAAGATGGAACCCAGGGCCTCATGCATGCTAGGCAAGTGCTGTCCCACTGAGCTTCACCCCTGACCTCGAAATTGTGCCCCGCTATCATGGTGCTGGGGATTGAACCCAAAGCCTCTTGCATGCTAGGCAAGTACTCTATCATTGAGCTACTCCTGGCTCTTTTTATTTTGAGACACATTCTCCCTAGCTACCCAGACAGTCCTCAAACTTGAAATCCTCCTGTCTCAGCCTCCTGAGTAGCTGGGGTTACAGGTGTGTACTCCCACACCAGTTTTGAAATTGCCATTTTTAAAGATCAGGAAAGTGGTTAAATGTAGACAATTTTATATGATTCGACCTAATATTATTGCCTTCATTTAAAAAATTGCCCTCAATTTCAAAATGGAACTGAGGCTCACAGAAGGTGAGTAAATGATTTAGGGTGACAGAATTTAATACCTAAGCCAACATTCAAACTCAGGCCTGTTTGGCGCCAGACAGGGATCTTAAGAACTATGCTCTGTTTCTGTACTGTTTTTTGTTATTGAGGACCTAGTTGCATTGGCCCTGTCTTATGTTATCAGATCCCCAGTTCCTGGGACATGCTCACCTTCCTCTGTCTCCATCACGGTTGTGTGTGTGGAATGTGATGCTCACACCCAGTAGAGGCAGGATGCATGTTGTTGACTTGATCGGGTGACAGTGCTGAGATCAAAGGGGTTGTTATGTGTCTGCTCACACCCTCCCCCAGCTTCATCCCAGAAGGAAGCACAAAGTTCTTCCTTTCCCATAGTTGGGCAGGTGGTTAGCCTAGTCTAGCACAGCAATTTTGAGAAGATAGTGATAGCTCATCCTAGCCAGTGGAAGTCACAAAAGGTCCTTGCACTGGGAGTAAACCAAAGTGAGATGACATGAGGGAGCCCAATGGAAATTGTACAGAAGCCCATTATTTTTTTTAATTTTTTCTTTCTTTCTTTTTTTTTTTGGATACTGGGGATTGAACTCAGGGGCACCTCACTGAGCCACATCCCTGTCCCATGTTGTATTTCATTTAGAGACAGGGTCTCACTGAGTTGCTTAGTGCCTCGCTTTTGCTGAGGCTGGCTTTAACTCATGATCCTCCTGCCAAAGCCTCCCGAGGGACTGGGATTACAGTCATGCACCATGGCCCTGGCACCCATTATCTTTTTTTGGTACCAGGGATTGAACTCAGTGGTACTTAACCACTGAGCCACATCCCCAGCCCATTTTTTATTTTTTTATTCTGAGGCAAGATCTCACTAAGTTGCTTAGGGCCTTGCTGAGTTGCTAACTCTGGCCTCCAACTTGTGAATCTCCTATCTCAGCCTCTGAGCTGATGGGATGACAGTTGCATGCCACCATGCCTGGCTAGAAGCCCATTATCTTCTGATACTTCCTATACCTTCTAAGGAAGCAATTTGCTGTCCTGTGCCTGCAGTGACTTCTGACCTCTTTCTTTTAGGCTCCTATGTTGATTGATTCCCTTTGTAGGGAGATATCATGGCAACAGACTTAAGGTTTCCAAGCCAGAGGATCTTTATTCTATGTCCTCAAGCTTGCACATGGTATTAACAAAAGTTGGTTGCATTACATTTAATCTCTTCGTTTTTGTCAGTTTCCAGTCAAATCCCAAAACTTGCCAGAGAGATCCCAGGTCAAGTTTGTGTTTTCTCTGATATAGGCCCTGAGTATAAAGTCACTCTCTGTGACTTTTTCCCACTACTTGTCTTACCCACAAGGCTTTGACCTCTGTGGCATTTTGAACCAGGACTGAAAAATTTGGGGGAGCTCCAAAACAGTTATCAAGACCATGACAATCATTTGACTCACCTGCCAAGCTTTTTAGCATTCTGGGCTAAAAAGCTAATGGAATCAAGGGAACTGGATTTCACAGGAGTGGCCATGAGCTTATGATAATTGTTGCTGGGTGGGGAGCACCCAGGGATTTATCGTACTACTACTTCTTATGTATGTTGCAAATTTCCAACATAAAAAAAGGAAAACAACTGAGCTGGGTTTTGTTCCCAGTTCACTTCTCCTTTTTATTTTCCCATCTGTTTTCCCCCTTAGTGCTGGAGATCAAACCTATGCTAGGCAAGCTTTCTCCCACTGGCTATCTAATTTTGACATTAATGATGTATTTGTGTTAGGCAATCCTGGTAGCACGAGATGTCTATGAACATCCTAATGGAAAGAGAATTCTAGATGTTGGGAGATCAGGATTCTTGACCCACCTCTACTACCCACCGCTTAGTTCTGGGTCTCTAATGATTTATCTAATCTGTTCATTGTCAATGTATTTGCACTTGTCCTATATGTCAGAAATATAAGTGTATGCACTTGTTTTGGTGCCTTGAAAAGTTAAGAATGATTTCTGCAGAATTTATTGCTACTGATTCTTGAATTTCTTTATGGGAAATACAGATGCAAGGTGACTTAGCAGGCAACGTCCAACTCACAGGTATCTTCTCTGAACATCCCTTGTTTTATAGCTGTTATTGACCACCTGCCTCTGCCGGAAGAGCCTCCAGGCCTTGGGCTTGGCAGCAGGCACCTTACTCCAGATCTGTTTCCAAACCTCTTGGCTCTCCTCACATGCCGAGGCAAGCCTAGCACGAGTCTCAGCCTTCTCAGGAACTTGCCAGCATCCCCAAAGCAGTGAGAAGATTAATCAGACCACTTGGTACTCCTAAACCATGTCATGGAGGTGTTTGCTTGATTAGAGAAAGCACTCCCTAAAGTCTTGATGTAATCTCAGACTCCAAGGGTATGTGGAGACCAGTGATATTTTATTTCCAGAGTCCCCAGAGACTTTGGTAATTTGGGTTTTCCCTCTCTCCTTGGAATCTAAGTATTAGTTCTGAAAATCAACAAGAGGGATTTAAAATTAATCAGACTCCTTCAACCACACAGAAATTTAAGCTCCTCAACCCTTGGTTTTACTTGGGTGCTTTGATTGGTTGTTCTCAGCCCTGGGCTAGGTTGCAAGACTCCCAAATCCTAGTCTCACATCTGCTACTTTTTTGTTCATAGGAAGGAAAGCAAAATCCCCCTAAAGGACAAAGAAAATCAAACATGAAGTCTCCCAGCCTTCCCTGGAGGCCCTCCAAGGTTCTGTTTTGTCTTCTCAGCTGTGATCTTAGCTCAGAGAAGGTCATGTTTTGTTTTTGTCTTTTGTCTTCCTGCCCGTTCCAGTTGGTCCCAGTCTTTTGAGGTGGGGATTGCTGGGAGGTCACAATGTGCCATTGTTTGGGATGACAGTTCTAGGAGAGCAGGGCTGAGGTCATGTGTCCAGTATTCTGAGAAGCCGACAACCACAAGAATCAGACATTAGGCCCATCAGTGGTTTAATTGTTGAGTTCTTCTCTCCAGGTCTACTGACCCTATTTTTTCTTGAATTTTTTTTTTTAATTTTAGTTTTAGATGGACACAATACCTTTAATAAATTAATTTATTTTTATGTGGTGCTAGGATCAAGCTCAGTGCCTCACATGTACTAGGCAAGCGCTCTACCACTGAGCTACAACTCCAGCCCCTGGCCCTATTTTTTCAAGGAAAAGTGCGGACACATTAAGTGTCTATGCTTATGAAAATTGTGTTGGCAGAATATTTGAGGCCAGGATGCTTTGGAGAATCTGGGATATAGGTTCACCTTAGTGCTAAGGGCTATGAAAGATTTTATAAATTGTTTCTCTTATTCTTAACAACTTACTTCACTCCAAATTCAGAATTCTTTCATCTTCTCACCCCTGCTGTGCTAGAGATTGAACCAAGGGCCTCATAAAGCTAGGCAAGCACATTACCAAGGAGCCACATCCCCAGTCTCTTTCCACTTTTTGGATGTGTTAAGAGCACTGTGGCTGAGAACAAGGACTTTAGAACCAGAATCCCACCCCAGTATTTACTAGCTGTAGAACTGTCCATTTTAGTTACTTAGCCTCTCTGTCCCTCAGTGTCTTCTCATAAATGATAGCTGTTTATAGTATGTAATGGGAGAAAGGTACTCGAGAAAAGTCAGGTGTAAGAGAAGAAATATTGGTGATTTACCACTAAAGAGGCATACTGTTGCTCGAGGTAATTTTTGGCAACAGCACAGGAGGTGGCTGGGTTTTCTTAGCCTGGGTTTTCTGAAGTGCTGAGGTTTCTGAGGAAGGAAAAGGGGATTTAAAAACACAGTATATTTTTATTATGGAAAATTCCAGGTGTATAGTCAAGTAGAGAGACCAGTATGAAGAACTGCCATAAACCTATCAACCAGCTTTAAAAATTATAATATTTTGGGGTTGGGGATGTATTCTAGTGTAGAACACTTGCCTAGCGTGCATGAGACCCTGGGTTCTGTCACCAGCACTGCCCTTTTCCCAAAGTCAACGTCTTAATAGATCTTATAAATCTCCTTTTCCTTACCCCTTACCATGGAGTATTTTGAAGCAAATCCCAGACATGATATCATTTCACCTGTAAATCATATGTATCTCAAATAAATGAAAAATTTTAAAGATTATCAACCTAAAAAATTAGCACTCATTCTTTAAAATGAGCCAATACTAGGGTGACCATGTGTCATGGTTTGGGGCAGACCAAATTTATGCTGTTGTCAAAAATAATTATTAACAATGCCCTAAAAGGGGGATTTGCAGATCCTGGTGGTTGGTTATGCCTTCTAGCCTTCTCTCCTGCCAGCTTACTATGCCTCTGTCTCTTCTCTAATGTAGATTCATACATGCCTCTTCCTTTGTTCATCCTTGACCCAGTTTTTCTTCTCTCAAAATTGCCCACGAGGTCTCTGGGTAAATTCCCCTGGCCAGGGATATTACAGGTGTCTACTTGATTTGTACACAGTTTTTTTCCAAAGACTTGTGGCTTTCTCCCAGGGTTGGAGCAAAATATCTAGCAGTTTTCTGATTAGATTCTTACAATTTGAAGGAGAAGAAATAAGACTCTGTTCCAAGGCAGGATGATTTAATGACAATAGATAGGACCCCAGCTAAATAGAAGATCATCAGGGAAATTCAAAGCATGGAGTTACCTTTTCAGTTTTCCCACCTAACATCGGTCATGTGTAGTAGAATCAGAACTACACTAGGAACCAGGGTTCTTCCTCTAGTTTGCTCTGTGACCTTACCCATTTGAAGCATTTCCTACGGTGTAGCCTCTCCCATCCCCTCACAGTCTGCCCCTTTCTTTGCTCCCATTTATCCAAATATCAGTTGGCAATTGTGGTGACATTTTTAATTTTGTAATTAGACTCTCCTAAGTGCTTCTTGTAAAACTTAAAGATAAGGACCTCTCTTTACTTTTTTATCTCCATTGCCTAGAACAGGGTCTGGCACATAAATGGTTGCTGAATGGATAAACACCAAAGAGCCTTCCTTCTCAGTTTGGTAAAAATTAGACCAGATTCTCCTTAAGTTTCCTCAGGTTCGGTGACTTCCCAGAGTTGCTCAGCTAGCTTATGGTGGAGTGGAATACACTGAGCTGAGGAAGGTGGGATGGGACAGGTGAACAATGACTTCCTCCATTTCCCAACTTCATCTTCTCTTTTGGTCTCTTCTTCCTCCTCTTTTTTCCGTACATCCACTCCTCACACACTTATTTATCTTTTCTTCTCTCAGTGTGCTGGTTCTTGGAGTTCCCTGGAAAAAGCCAGAAGTTGACTCCATCATGGCCGAATTCAAGGTGGAGAGCCGGGCCAGTGTCGACTGGCAGAAGCGCTGCCTGGCCCTGGAAACACAGCTTTTCCGGTTTCGCCTCCAGGCCAGCAAGATAAGGGAGCTGCTGGCTGACAAGGTGAGACCTAGAGTTCCAGGGGCTGCCTCCCCTCACCGCAGGGGGGTCATTGTCAGAGAGGGCCAGAGTCAAAGGGGGAAAGTTGGTGAAAGAAAACTTTCAAAGAGATGCTTTTCACACGTGCAAAATAAAACCCAAGGTAGCTTTTTGTTTATTTGGTTTTGTTCTTATTTTAAGAACAGACTGAGCGGGTTACTACCGTGTCACCTATCATTTCTCCCTGCTCTACCTCTTCATAAGTACACCAAAGAAATGATAGAATTCTTCTTGGTCTTCTATAACCTCTTGGTTACTTGTGGCTCCTATGTTCCATTATCCCTTAATATTTCTTCTTTTCTTTTGGTCTGGTGATTGAACACAGGGCTACTCTACCACTGAGATATTTTTTAATTATTAGTTTATTATTTATTATTTTTTATTATTTCTCTATTTTATTATTATATTTTTAAATTTCAAGATAGGGTCTTACTAAGTTACTGAGGCTGGCCTTGAACTTTGAATCCTCCTGCCTTAGCCTCCGGAATAGCTGGGACTCCAGGTGTGTGCCCTACCACCATGCCCAGGTTCCCCTTAGCATTTCTTTTTCACTGTGGGCAGGATATTGTTTTAGGAGAAGAATGCAAATGTATCCATCCTACTGCTCACCTTTTGTTAAGCACATGAGCCACTGGTTTTCTGGGGACAAGGACACAGGCACTGGAGACCTGTCTGGCTCTACCAATTTCTAGCTATGTGACCCTGAGCAGGTCCCCTTCACCACTAATGCAGGGAGATAGATGTCTACCTCTCAGATGTTATTTTGAGAGTTACTTCACATATATGAAGGTCTTGGCATAGAACGGGTCTTAAATAGGAACAATTTTATCTTTATAGGCTTTGGTGGGCTGGTGTGGGAAACTTACCACCTTTCATAATGTTTCTGCTGACCTCCAGAGGCGTTGAGCAAAACTCATGTAGAGGGGCTAGGGATGTGGCTCAAGCGGTAGCGCGCTCGCCTGGCATGCGTGCGGCCCGGGTTCGATCCTCAGCACCACAAACAAACAAAGATGTTGTGTCCGCCGAGAACTAAAAATAAATAAATATTAAAAAAAAAAAGTCTCCTCTACAAACTTCAAAAAATTAAAAAAAAAAAAAAAACTCATGTAGAGAGTGGAGACTTGCACAGAAGAAATACACACACACACACACATACAAACTTATACATGTATTCATTCTGTATATATTGTGGGGGAGGGGAAGTACTGGACTTAAAGGGTTCAAACCCAGCTATATCCTCATGCTCAACCCTTTTTATTTTTTATTTTGAGACAAGTTCTCCTTAAGTTTCTGAGGCTGGCCTCAAATTTGCAATCCTCCTTTTTTAGCCTCCCTAGTAACTGATTTTTCAGGTGTGTAAACAGATGGATATATATATATATATGTATATATATACATACATATATCTATATCTATATATATCTTAAGTGAATCAATCACTCTTTCTGTAGTTTTGATTATATAGTATCAATCTGTTTAGCAAATCTCTCTCTCTCTCTCTCTCTCTCTCTCTCTCTCTCTTTTGTACTGGGGATTGAACCCAGGGGCATGTAGGACCTTACTGAGTTACTGAGGTGGCTTTGTACTCTGGATCCTCCCAAGCCTCTGGGATTATAGGTGTGAGCCGCTGCCCCCAGCTCACAAACCTTTCTTTCATAGAACAAAGGTAAAATTCAGCTTAGCCCTCTTCAAGTAATTCAAAGTCTTGATGAGTAAGCAACCGTTTTATTGATAGTCCTGTAACCTGGAGCCCAGGAAGGCAAGTCAGTGGCCTCACCTCTGCATTTCCAAAGCAGGGGGAGTGCCCTGGGCTAGTCTGGACTAGAACTCTTGAACATTGGCTCTATTGGCATTGCTGTCCTTGAGTTCAAACTGTGCAGAACAGGGGCCCTGCAGGTTCCAGCCAGGTGGTGCCAATAGAGAGGAAAGAACTCAGCCCCTTCAGGAAAAGGACAACAGGTCTTAGACAGTGGTTCTCAAAGTTTGGCCAGAATCAATTGTTAAGCACACACTTGTTAAGCATATCTGTCCTCAGCCCCACCCCAGTCCTCTTGATCCCGGTACTGTAATCTCTGTGTTTAACAAGCTCCCAGAAAATGGCTTTGTACTATAAAGTGGGTGAACCTTGCCTTAGGCTGTAGTGTTAGGGGCATGTAGGAGGCAAGGAAAGGGTAGGCAGGAATACATTCAGCCAGGTGGCCTGAAATACCTCAGAGGAAGGACACTTCTGTTTCTAGAAGTAATTAGGGCCACAAAATAACCTTTTAAAAATTTTTAAAAATATTTTTATTAGTTTTGATGCACCTTTATTTTATTTATTTATATATATGGGGTGCTGAGAATCGAACCTAGTGCGTCACACATGCTAGGCAAGCACTCTACCTCTGAGCCACAACCACAGCACCTTTTAAAAATTCTTACCATGAAATACCTAAAATGCTGGATGAAATATTTTAAATATCCTTCTAAACACAGAGATGAACATTGGGAAAAAAATAATAAAAGGACTCCTTAGGGAGCAGAAGAGGGAAGAACCAGGTGGAGCTCACCTCTGGTGGCTGAGTGGTGTGGGGAGAAGAGGGGAGGACAAGGGAGGAGAGGTGAGGGGAGGGGAGGGTGGCCTCCTTTTAGGAATGTAAGGTTTCAGGTTTGAGTTCTGTGGAGACAGAGATGAGGTTTGGCTGGTTGGATCTGAAGGTGAAACAGAGTCTTCCTCATGGAGTCAGGACTACCAAAGGGCTCACCATAAATAAAAAGGTAGATGACAAGAAAATCATCCATCAGCGCAAGGAGATGGCAACAGCTTCTCAGATTTAGGTAAGGCTCTGGGTAGAAAAAACAAAAATAAAGAAAAAGAAGTCTTTAAGAACCTGATAATAATACTAGTTCAATGTTAGGATTTCTACCACCAGTGTGGTTGAAGAAGCCTAAGTTCTGGGCCAGGGGTAACCCTGGGGAACTTTGTAGAAAACAGATACAAAACCTCTTTGAAGAAATAAGACCTCAGTCCAGATCACACAGGATCCTCATAGGAAGAAGAGCCTCAATGAAGGTGAGTATATAATCTGAAATGACTAATGCTTGAGGAATAATTTACGACGATGAGTGAGAACTCACCTACCTGACAAACAATTAGTCTTCTGATAATAGAATTCTTGGCAAGAGACAATAAAATTAACGAGTTCAAAACTATTGAAGACATAACGCAGAAACTTGGAAACATGAGACAAGAACGAGGCAGGATCCAAAAAAGGTCAGGTCAACTTGAAAATTACATAGAACTTCTAGAAGAGAAAGTGTTTTAATTGAATTTGTTTTCTTTTGGGGGTACTGGGGATTGAAGCCAGGGCGTTGCACATGCTAGGCAAGCACTCTATCACTGAGCTGCCCTCCCAGCCCAGAAGGGAAACTTAGTGAATAGATAGACCTGAGGAAGTCATCTAGAATGTAGTACAGAGAAATAAAGATATAGAGGCTGAAATATGGATGGCAGGATTCCAGAAGTGGAGAAGAGAATGAAGGAGAGGCATTACTTGAAGGGGTAATGGCTAAAATGTTTCCAAACTTGATAAAAGATCTGAAGCCTCAGATTCAGAAAGCAGAAACCTAAACAGTATAAATTTTTAGAAATCTGTGTATACTATTTTAGCTGTGAGAAGGAACCCAAAACAGCAATGGCTCAAACTAGACAGATGTTTCTTTCTTTTTCATGTAGCATTTCAAACATAAGCAGTCCTGTCTTCTACGTGTTTAAAGATGGTTTCCTGGGCTGGGGTTGTGGCTCAGAAGTACAGTGCTCACCTAGCGTGGATGAGGTACTGGGTTTGGTCTTTAGTACCATATAACAATAAATAAATAAAAATAGAGGTATTATGTCTACCTACAACTAAAAAATAAAATAAAATAAAAAGATGGTATCCAAATTCCTTCCAGTTCCCTTTCCCAGAGGTGCCTGTGTTCCTTCTGCTCATATTTCACTGACCACAACTTTGTCACATGGTTGTACCCAGCTTCAAGGAAGGTTGAGAATTTTTTTTTTTTTTTTTTTTTTTTTGTGGTGCTGGGGATAGAACCTAGGGAATCACACAAGTTAGGCAAGCATTTTATCACTGAGCTACAACTTAGCCCCAGGAAATGTTCTTGATTCTTACCAGTCATGTGCTCAGCTAAAAGTTGAGTAGTCTAAGATAGAAAAAAGAGAAGAGGAGAACACATAATGGGAAACAACTAGCTGTCTTTAAGTATACAATAATAAGAGTCATATCAAATAGAAATATAGTACATATAACTTTAAAATCAGTAGTGTGGAAAAATGAAATAAAGTCTTAAATCCAGATAGGGAACAGGAAAAAAAAAAAGAATAGAAAAAGGAATACAAGCCAGACACAGTGGTGCACACCTATAATTCCAGCGGTTTGGGAGGCTGAGGCAGGGAGATCACAAGTTCAAAGCCAACATCAGTAATTTAGTGAGGCCTAAGCAACTCAGAGAGACCCTGTCTCTAAATAAAATACAAAAAGGGGCTGGAGATGTCGTTCAGTGGTTAAATGCCCCTGGTACCTACCAACAACAACAACACAAACAGAAAGAAACAAAATGCAGTGGTAGAAGTAATTCCAAATATATTGGTCACAGGAGACACATATAAGAATACATATTGCAGTACTGACATATAAAAATCGTGAATATTCTAAATGTCTTAGTAGGGGGCTGGATCAATATATTGAGCATACTTATACACTGGAATACTACATTGCATTTAAAAAGGTCTTAAGTAGAGCTACATATATAATATCAATAAATCTCAAAAACCAATATTGGACAAAAAATATCAAAAGAGTACAATGTAGTTTATGTAATTTAAAAAAAAAACTACTAGAAGTGTTCTAATACCTAATCTAATACCTCTGTAACCTTGGGCAAGTTTCCTTACCTCTCTGCTTCAGTTTCCTGACCTTTACAATAGGGACACGAATAGTACCTGCCTTTGTAAAGAAATCTCAGGGCTGGGGATACAGCTCAGTGGTAGAGTACTTGTCCAGCATACACAAGGCCCTGGGTTCAATCCTCAACACTGCAAAAAACAAAACAGTAGCAAAACAGTTCTCCAGGTTTTGTACAGTTATTTCTCATCCCAGCTCCACACTTGTAAATTTTGTATATTTGGGACTAAGTATATGATTTCAATCAAACATAAAATCTGCAGCTATGAAAAAGAAGCAAAAAACTGTTGTCTTAGATTACAACAGAGTTAGAACTGTTTAATAACTAAACTGGTATTGCAAATCCAAATGCTCACAGGTAACTTTGATAAAGGTAACAGTGAAAAGCGCCAGGCAGGCTGTGGGAGAACTCAAGGACATGGGCTTAAGCCACATATTACCATAAGAAAACGTCATCCTGGTATGGCCAGATCTTCTACTTTTTTTTTTTTTTTTTTTTTGATAGAAGCTGGAAATTGAGAATTGTTTGTAGTGTCTGGATTTTTATGTGACATTTGAGATTTGAATGTGAGAGACTATATAGCATGGTGGCTGACAGTATGAACTGTGGAACCAGTCCACTTGAGTTTGAATCCTGGCTGTGAATCTAATACCTGTGTGACCTTGGGCAAGTTTCTTTACCTCTCTGCTTCAGTCTCTTGACCTGTATGATAGGGACATGAATAGTACCTGACTTTGTAAAGAAATTGAAATGAGTTAAGACTACTTATAACAGTGCTAGACACACAGCAAGTGGCCCTGTTTAGCTATGTACGTGTAGGCTAAAGACCCACACCACTATATATGTCATAGAGGCACTCTTTAGACTCATAGTTGGCAAGTTTTGACTTAAACCTATTCTTTATGTAGATTAATTCTAAATAGGATGACATGTAATCTATCATCTAACCAGGACACTCTGAAGAGAAATGAAAGGAGGCTCTGTTAGTATCTGTGCTGGGATAGCAGGTGAGACTATCCCCGGCAAACTGGTCCCCCTGGTCCTAAGTGCCATCTTTGTACAGAAAAGCACCAGTAAGCAGCTTTTATCTACAAACCAGCAAATGCTCTACGGGGGTACTTTGTGTCATCTTTCTAACAACCCTAGCAGAGAGATGCTGTTGCTGCTCTCCTTTTTTGATGGTAAGGAAACTGAGGCACAGGGTTAAGGAACTTCTCTAAAACTACACCATAGCACAGTCAGCCAGGTTCCAGAGCCTTGGCTCTCACCTGTAACTGTGGATATAAGGTGGTGGCCGGAAAGTTAAACTTCCTTTTCAGAGAAATAGTGGAGACCGAGGATGATGTGGCTTTCAGTTCAGGCCTCTGCTTGGCATGGCAGAACTACTCTGGGCTGCAGGAGAGTGCTCATTGCTCCTGCCATGTGGGGCTGCTTCACAGCATTGCCATATGGAATAAGGAATGGTGGACATGGGCTTGAATACCAGATTGGTGCCAAGTGCATTTCGTCAGGTTACTGCAGCCAGTTCTAGGGCAGCTTATGCATCTTACGTGCAGCTGATGAAAGTAGATCCCTGTCAGCCACCTAAACCTGACACCTCCTTGGTTGATGAGTCACCCCAGACCCGCAAACTAAGGACAGCTGAGGACATTGTCCTGGCAAGGCCTGTGGGAGAAGGAACAGAACCCACATAAAGGGAGGCCCACCTAAAGGTGCCAGATTTCCAGAGCTCCAGGTATGACCCTTTAAGCAAATGTGGAGAAGAAGGATCTAGCCATGAAGTGTTGATGCTGGGATTAAAAGGGGAGCCTATAAACTCCCAAAATGACACACCTAGAGTACTCCAGCGGCAAGAGAGAAAGTATACTTTCATAAAAACAGATAGAAACAAAATGTTAAAGATATTTTCAAACAAGAACAGTGGGATGTTAGTAATTGTTGAGTATAACAGCGTATATATGGGATTATGCTTTATCTTTTTAAAAAGTCTGGTTCAAAATGTTTTCAATATTCAGAAACTAGTTTTAGAGGAAATAGAATGCCTCAGCATAAAAGTGAACACAAAATGCTTCGAGTGTCAAGTGTCCTTGCCAGGAAGATAAGAATGACTGGGAGGGTTGGCAACAGTGGGGACCACCTGGCAGCCTTGAAGCAGCCAGCCCTGGCTGGGAGGAGACCCTGGCCCTGGACAGTTCCTTGCCATTTCTTTTGCTTTGGTAAAGCAAAACCTTGAAGGGATGGATAATAAAATACCTTAAAGGGATGGATAACAAAATCTTGAGGGGAAAAATTCTTGCTGCATTGCCCATGACAAGTGATTTCTGGCTCTGATTAGTATCATTGACCACTCACTCTTGATCCAAATGAAAATGCCTAGCTGGGAGGTAAGACTCAAGTTTGTTCCTTATTCTACCTTGGTCTCCATCTCAAAATTGGAAGACAAATATTCCAGTGGATGAATTAGAAAAAGTCAGACAATTATTGCAGAAGGTCATGGGTATGGCCTTCTTACGGAAGTCATAGGCCATTTTCTAAGCTGCAGAGCAGATATTAGAACTAAGGGATCCAGCCGAAGGTCAATCTAGGAAATCTCTTTAGTGTCCAAGGCCTTCTCATTTAACATTTCATTGTATTCTTTAAAAAGAAAATGCTCCCAGTCATTGCCTTAGTTACTTTCTTCCTGCGTGGGCAAAACTCAAGCAAACAGGGTCTCCTGGAATACCTCACAGAACCCCACTTCTGTCCAACATCCATGACTTGGTAAAACTTGCATGCCTTTTCCTGTGTGGGTCACTGGCTCCAGTTTCTGGTCTCTTGATTGCAGGTTTCAGGTTCCTGGAGAGAAAGGACCTGGTCAGCCTGCTCAGGTCTGGTGCTGAAGGGGGAAGGGATATTTAGTACTGATCTGGGAGCCACCACTATGTGTCATCCAGCCCTTGTCTCCCACATCACTAAGTGGAATTCCTTTTACATTGGGCAACACCCCTATAACCATAGTATAGATTTGTGTTGTGCCATTGTCTGTCCATGGGCTAAGGGTCATGGAGCTCCTTCAGGACAGGCCCTAGGGCCATTTGGTTTGGGAAAGTGTGCCTGGCTCAGAGAGGAATTGCTCAGTTCATTGGTAAATTTCAAGCCAGAGTTCAAGTCAAGGGGAGGAAGTGGAGTAGCCAGAGAAAAGGTGAGGTCTGCACATTAGGTAAGTGAGGGCTGGTCTGGAGCATGGAAAGTAGGGGACCCTGATCCTGCCCAGCATCATGGAGGACTGCAGGGATATGCATCAAGTATGTGTGTAATGCATACAGGTTGCCCTGGGGCAAGACAGGCCTGGGGCAAAATTAGCCAGGTCAAGGCACATGGCATTTGACATTTGACTGTAGGCTGTATGAATTTTCTGTTCCTCCTAGGACCTCTGTGTGCTAGTGTGAGTTTGGGCAGCACATGGTGATGCCCTGGCAGGGGGAGAGTGGGAGCTGATGTCCAGCCCACATTCTTCTCGCCAGTCTAGGCTCATGAAGCTGCAAAGAATGTTGCCATGGCCCGTAGGATCATGAGCAACTCTTCAGGCTGCAGTTTTGATCTGGTCCCTGATGAATTTCCGTATGCAAGACCATCAGTTCCTTTGTTTGAGCCACTTGGTAGAATTACTGAGTTCCTCAGACCCGAATGACATGCTTTTCCTGGCAGCAGGATAGACWTTTTTTCTTTTTATTTATTTTGCATTGCTGGGGTTTGAACTCAGAGCCTCAAACATGTTTGGCAAGCTCTCTACCACTGAGCTACATCCCCAGCCCAAAGACAGAATTTTTAAAATGTAGGGGCTGGTGTTCAGTGGTAGAGCATATGCTTAGTAAGCACATAGCCTTAGGTTCATTATAATCCCCAGCACCAAAAAAAGGACTTGAGCCTTTCTATTTCTTTAAAATTTAAGAATGTCATGAATGTTATTTATACCCAGCCAGTGAGATATTCTGGGTAGGGAAGGACAGTCTCTTCCTGATGACTGAGGTGGGCTTATGTAGGATCATGGCCAAGTTGGGCGTGTGGGTGAGCAATGGTATGGCCCTGCCTGTGACCCAGTGCAGAGAGGAAGGGGCCTCTGGAAGAGGGGACTGAAGAAAGGATGGGGGCAGGAGTGCTCAGGAAGAAAGATGTAACACTGCCACCCCAGCACCCTTTACAGTGGAAAAAGAGCTAGGCTCGCTCCCTCAGCTGTGAGGACAGCAGCCATGCCCTTTTACCTACCCACTAAACTCAGGATCAGGGAATCCAGAGTTGCCAGGAAAATCTTTACCCTGACACCCTTGAGCCACTTGAGATGGCAGTTGAAGACTGATGGCATCTGTATACTTTGCTTGAGTGCCCCAGTGCCATTTTCAGTTGGGTCACAGCACCTGTGTCTCCCCTTCCTGTCTGGCTGTACAGATGCAGGAGCTGGAGCAGAGGCTGCTGGAGGCGGAGCAGAGAGCAGAGAATGCAGAGACCCAGGTAATGGGGAAGGGGATTAGCTCAAGTATGAAAATGTGGGCACAATCATCACACTGAGTTCTTTGCAAGGGGGAAATGAAAAAAAAAACTAACTGCTGGACCTGAACGTGTGAAGGTGCAGGGAGTGTTCTATGAGAATGAAGGGGTCTGGGTAAGGTCAGTATAGTTGGTCCAATAGGCCTTGCTGTGCTGTGGGAATAAATTAAGTTATAGTCTCAGCGATTTGTCACATTTAGCTCTCATGTATAGAACCCATCCATTGAGGGTTCACCAGCAAGTCTGCTCCCACAGTCATTCAGGGGTCCAGGCTGGAGGTACCTCCCCTGCCTTATAGCTGCTCCTCTTGGTTCGGTGTGGCAGGGAAAGAGCTGGATGCTTATGCACCAGCTCTTAAATGCTTCAGGCCAGAAATGATGTGCCATGTCTACTCCATTGGCTGGATGAATTATGTGGCCCCATCTAACTAGAGAGGGTTAGGAAATATGGAGAAGCATGTCAATATTCAGTGAACAGTAAGTACCTCTCCTCATGATTTGGAACAGTGCCCTTCAGGGCCATTTGTCATATCCAGCTTATCCCTGGTAGGGTCCCCAGAGATAGATGGGCCAGAACCTAGCTGGTCTTTTCAAAGTAGCCAAATTGAGTGTCTTGCTTGTCAGTTCCTTTTGTCCAGATAAAGGCTTAATAAATGGCCACTTAATTAATTGGAACAGACTGCTCTGGGTAAGGGCTCTGCCTGAGAGTCGTGGATTTGAATAATGTGAGACCTCAAGAGAGCATTGGTACTTTTCAGGTGGGTGTGATGGAAGAAAAGGTAAAACTGTCCAATCTGAAGAATGTGGACTCCACTGGGAGCCTGCACCGAAAATACCAAGAATTGCTGAAAGTCATGCAGGGCAAAGATGAACTCATCAGCCACCTGGAGGCACAACTGGAGAAGCAGGTAAGGGCTAACTTGCAACAGAGCACCAGTTCCCTCAACATCTGCTCTAGTTGGCCCCCAGCTTCTGGGCCCCTCTGCTTGAGGCATGAAATGATGGAAACTCACTCCCTCATGAGCCTGTTTTTTCTCTCTCTTTGAAATAGTGATTTTATTTACTACAGATATATAATTATAAATGGGATGGTTACATTACATGTAGTATTTTTTAAATTATATTTAGAAAGACCCATGCTTTGTTCCATAATGATGAACCTGTTGTTTTATAAGGAGATTTAATTATTGGAAGATTCCTTCCCACACTGTTAGAAGTCAAGAGAGGATATAGGGAAAAGGACTTTGGAGGCAGATGATCTGGGTATGAATCTCACCTCTGCACCTGSTGTTCTCTGTGAGCAAATTGCATAAGTTGGTGATTCTCAGTTTACACATTTATAAAATAGGGGTCATAATATCTCATAGGGATTTTGGGAGAATTAGGGGAGGTAATCTCTATATAGTATCAGATACGTGGTCAATGCTTGGTAAGGAGACCTTTTCCCTTTCCACACGGGCCCGTGCCTTGCCAACATGTGCTACACGATACTTGTCTGTAGTGTAACCAGAACAGCATACGGCTGGACAGTCAACCTTGGTTAGCTGTTTAGCCAGTTTCTCAGCTAACCTGAATAGACAGAGACCTAAGTTATTACCTTCTCTGAAAAATCAAGGCCTCCATTCCTGAGTATGTGGGAGACACTGCTCAGCATTTCAGCTATAGTGAGCACCCTTGCTCCCCAGAGGACTTCTGGAATGCCCCACTACCAGTACCTATACCCAGCCTCCTCCCCTTGTCAGTCTCATGAACTTCATCCCAGCTCTGTCCCTTCCCTTGGCAGTTGGTTTTATGTGGCCAACTTCCCCCTGGTGTCAGAGCTCCATCTGTTTCTAACAGTGGACCCCACAGTAGGGTCAGGTGACGTTAATTTCTGCATGTGCATTCTCCATGAAGTTTCCAGCTAATTCTGGCAGTATCTTCCAACCATCGTGGGCAAATTTGTAATCATTCATCAGCATTCACTGAACATTCCCTCACTGGATGTGCCTTTATATGCTGTGGGGCAGCGTGTGTTCCTGCACAATCATGGGAAAACAGTTTTTACACTTGGAATGTCTAATTAAGTTTAGAGGTACCCTAACTTCTCTTTCAGGGGGATTATGGGTGTGGCAGCATTCTGGGGATTGATGGGCAATATGACTCCTGCTAAAGTTCCTTAAGTCAGAAAAATATTTTACAATTACACTCAATAGGTCAAGATTAGAAGAGAAAGAATACTTTTCTGGGAGTCAAGAGACCTGGTTTGAGTCCCAGCTTTGCTACAAACTGACAGAGGCCAGTCATTTCATCCCTGGGCCTCAGTTTCCACGGCTGTACAAAGAGGGTACTAAATTAGGTCAGGGGTCCACTGTTTCTTTTTTTAAAATATTTATTTCTTAGGTGTAGATGGACTCAACACAATGCCTTTACTTTTTTTTTTTTTTTATGTGGTGCTGAGGATCGAACCCGGGTCCCGCCCGTGCTAGGCAAGCACTCTACTGCTGAGCCACAATCCCAGCCCCTAGGGTCCACTGTTTCTGTAAAGGGCCCAAGAATAACTATTTTAGGCTTTGTGGGCCACAGAGTCTCTGTAACAACTATTCAACTCTGCTGTTGTGATATGAAAGCAACTAGAAACAATCCATAAATGAACATGCATGGCTGAGTTCCAGCAAAACTTTGTTTACAAAAAATAGGCGGCATGGGCGGGGGTGCTGTAGCTCAGTGGCAGAGCACTTGCCTAGCACATGTGAGACACTGGGTTCAATCCTCAGCACCACATAAAAATAAATAAATAAAATATAAAAAAAAAAAAAAAACATAGGTGAGGGATAAACAGATAGAGGACTGGGTTGGCTTGTGGCTTGCCAAACCTTGAACTAGATGACCTTGAAGATCTTCCTAGCCCTCTGACTCTTTGATATTCCCATCTCATTTCCCTCGTTTGGAGCTTATTCTGTCCTCCTAATAGTTGTCTGGCAGTCTTTCCCTACATGCATAATCAAAGTCCTTATTACTGGTCACTCAGCTACTCAGTAGACACTTGTTGCTCCTTGGTTTTTAGATCGGGGTCCAGGTCTTGGAGAGCTGTACCTGGTGCTATGTACTTTCTGTCTATCTTCATCCTCAGAGTGGCCCACATTCCCCATTTTAGAGGTGCCAGTGTAGGCACAGAGGGTTATTATAGCAAATAAGCTCACATATAGGATCGAAGCCCATGTTCCATTCTATTCTAGGCTGCTTTTTTTAGATACAAACTTCCTTTTTATCCTTAGTGATATGCTAATTTAGACTTTGTGTATGTGTGTGTGGTGCTGGGATTGAACCCAGGGCCATGTGCATGTGAGGCAAGCACTCTACCAACTAAGCTATAACCCCCTTGGTTTTGTTTTTTTAATTGTAAAGGTAATACATGCTGGGCTGGAGTTGTAGCTCAGTGGTAGAGCGCTTGCCTTGCATGCAGGAGATACTGGGTTCAATCCTCCTCACCACATAAAAACAAATAGATAAAACAAAGGTATTGAGTCCATCTATAACTTAAAAGAAGTAATATGTGCTTATGGTAAAAAATAGACACATTAAAACCCAGTAGGGTCTAAAATGACAAATAATATTTTTCCTTTATTAAAAAACCCTTTATTTCCACTCCTAGCTGTTAATGTTTTTTGTGTATCAAAGCATGGCATTTTACTTTCATTCTGTGGATGTGCCATGTATTGAAACAATGTGTTGTTGGTAGTGAACACTTAAGACTGTTTCCAGTTCTGAGTTTTCTAGTTGGTGTGTCACTTTCTCAAGTAATATTGCAGCAAATGACTCCTGAGCTGTGGCTTTCTTAGGTCAATGTACACTTTTAATGTTGACATATGTTATCAAATTGCCACCTCACAGGCTTTGCCAATTTGTATAAGAGAGGTCATGCCCAGCATTCATGATGGTTTGGGGGTAATATCAGACTTTTAAATTGTGTTAGTCAGCTAGAGAAAAATAATGTTTTCCTTTTATCTACATACTTGAAATTATGAGTGAGGTCGAGCAGCTTTTCATGGCTTTATCTTTCTTTTTCTGTTGATTTCCTGTTCATGTCCTTTGCATGTGTTTTTTGGATTGTTCAATTCAAACAGCCCTTTGTATGTGGACTTTCTGAGTTGCAAATCCTTCCCCAGTAGGTCTTTTGATTTTGTTTAAGGGATTCTTATTTTAGTCATAATAGTAATTGATAGTGATGATATAGATTGATTAGTCTTTCCTTCATAGCTTTTTTGGGATTTGCATTATACTTAGGAAGGCCCTTCCCACTTTTTAAGAATGTTTTTTAAAAAAATCCTAGCTGGGGCTGGGGATGTGGCTCAAGTGGTAGTGCGCTCGCCTGGAATGCGTGAGGTTCGATCCTCAGCACCACATAAACATAAATAAGTGAAATAAAGGTATTGTGTTCAACTACAACTAAAAAATAAATATTAAAAAAAATCCTAACTGAATTAAAATTTTTTCTGTTGGGTCCCCCCCATCCAATCACTCGTTGTCCCTTCTCTCAGCTTCCCACTTTTGGTCATTCACTCCACCAGTGACCAGTAGTGATGAACTGAAGGCCCTGTCTTTCCTGCAGAAGCAGCTAAGAGCTGAAGAAGCAAAAATTGTTCAAGAAAAAGCTGCAAAGATCAAGGAGTGGGTGACACTAAAGTTATCAGAGGTGAGTGGAGAGCTCATGTTGGGGGGCCTGGCCTGGGGGTAAGGCTGGGGTTGCCTCTTCCCAAGTTCCTGCCTCCTCTGCTTGGTGGCAGCTTGCTGACCTTCATCTTGTTAACCATTTGTCCTGCATTCAGATTAAACTCTGTAGCACCTGGCTTTATCTCTTGTTCCTTTTGTCATGATCAGTTTCCCTGGAGCTCCTCACTAGCATTTGTGTGTTTAAGTTTGGGAAGAAGGAAAGAACCTCACTTTTGAGAAGTCCCCTCAGTTTTCTTCTAAGGAGCACACTCAGACCATCCTCCACTCACCATCTTTTCTTCTCTGTCCCCTCCATTTTCAACTTTAAAAAATCCAGGTATGGTGGCACATGCCTGTGTCTCAGTAGGCTGAGGCAGGAGGATCGCAAGTTCAAAGCCCACCTCAGCAACTTAGCTAAACCCTGTCTCTAAATAAAATATTTTAAAAGGCTGCAGATGTGACTCAGTGGTTAAGCACCCTTGGGTTCAATCCTGGATATCCCCCCAAAAAAATTTGTGGCAAACATTAATAAATAATAAAAAGTAATTATGATAAAACATGTAAAATTTACCAAATTCTTATTTTAAGTGTACATTTAGTGGCATTAAATACACACACAGTGTTGTGTAGCCAATCACCACTGTGTCCAAAACTTCTCATCACCCCTCAAAATTCTGTGCCCTCCAAATGCTCTCTTTCCCCAGCTGCTAGAAACCTCTACTCCCCTTTTCCTTTCTGGGTATGCATTTTGGTGGTTATCACGTGCTACAGCTGTATCAGTGCTGCTAGCATACAAACAAAAACCAGCCTCCTTCTAAAGAAAAGAAAAGGGAGTTTGGACAAGGATGAACTCCATCTCTTCTTCCTTTGTCCTCCAGAGACACATGGTTCCTCCTTCAGGAGCATGTTTCTCATTTTGCACCCCTCCCCTTCTTTAGATGCTCATCTCAGGTCCCATGATAGACTGCAAGTACTTGGAGACAGAACTAAGGACTGGTTTACCTCCATATTCCTATAGCCCCAGCTGATCCTTTCTAAGAAATGCTCCATGAAAGTATGCTGGATTTAATTTAAAAAGAAAATGCATCTGGGCACAGTGGTGCATGCCTGTAATCCCAGTGGCTCAGGAGGCTGAGACAGGAGGATCTTGAGTTCAAAACCAGCCTCAGCAAAAGTGAGGCACTAAGCAACTCATAAAATACAAAATAGGGCTAGGGATGTGGCTCAGTGGTTGAGTGCCCCTGAGTTTAATCCCTCATACCCCCCCCCCCCCGCCCCTGCAAAAACAGAAAAAAAAATGCAGTCAACATGAGGCTGGATCTCATATATGTTTTGTTGAACAAAACAAATCAGACACACAGAAGTACATACTGTATAGTTGCATTTATCTAAAGTACAGAAATGGGCACAACTATGGAAAACCAAGGTGAAGGGATGCATCCTGAGATGGTAAGTCCCAAAAAGCAAGGAAGCAAATTCAGTAAACTTTAAAGAGTGGTGTCCTTTAGGAGGGAAATAAGGAGCGAGTGATAGTGAAGGGGTGAGTCAGGAAGTTGCATGGGGTGCTGCCAGTTAGCTTATATTTGTTAAGTGGGCAATTGTCACATGCATGTGAATTTCAGAATTATTTGTGAATTTGTTCATTGATGCAGGATGCAATTGTCTATGTATATGTTGTATTTCACTATTTATCTATCTATCTATTTATTTTCAGCACGGCAATTGAAGCCAGAGACACTTTACATCCTCAGCCCATTTTTTTTTTTTTAATCTTTTGTCACAGAGCCTTGCTAAGTTGCTGCCCAGCTAGCTTCAAACCTTCCCGCCTTAGCCTCCTGAGTAGCTGGGATTACAGGCATGTGCCACTGTGCCTGGTTATATTTCACACTTTTCAGAAGGATAAACATAGTGAAAATTTCAAGTCATAGCACCAACAAACAAAACTAGAAAAGGAAGCATGGGGGCTGTCAAAGTAGAGGGTCAGCACTGGATTGGTGGGACACTGGGTGCTCTTTTTCAAAGATATGGGCTTTTAATTTTATTTAGAGTTCTATGTCTGAACCTGTAGGAGCTGAGTATTCTAAATCTCCCTTTTCTAAACTTCCCTTATCTCTCCCTCTCTCCCTCTCCCCCTCTCTTCCTCTTCCCTCTCCCCCCCTCTCTTCCTCTTTCCCTACACCTGCCCCCATCCCTTCCCTCCCTCCCTTCTTTCCTTCTCTCTATGGAACCCAGGACCTTGAGCATACTAGGGATGCACTTTACTACTGAGATACATCCCTGCCCCCTCTGAATCTTCATTTTCTTTTTTTCCAGCTTGAGATGGAGAATCAGTATCTGAAAAACTGTAATCAGCGCCTGGTGGAACAGGTGGGAGCCCTTCAAGATGCGCTGGAAGGTAGGCAGGCCTGGGTGTGTGCGCTGTGGAGTACGGTGCTGATTTGAGGGAGCTCTCAATACACTTGAGGATGTAAAAAAAAAAATTGTTTTTGCCCCAATCACAGCTCTTCAGATGACACCTTCAGGGAAGCTGCTGGTGGCCCCCCAAGAAGCCCCAGAGGAGAATCCTGTCCCTTCAGAGCCAGGAGCTCAGCCTGTGGCACAAGATAGTGGTTCTCAGGTCCAGGCTTTGAAGGTGGCTTTGCCTGGACCTTGTCTGGGTGCCCTGCAGAGCAAGGGCTCTGTGCCTGAAGCCAGAAGCCCAGTGGAGGATTCTAGTTCCAGCATGGTCCACCCCGAGGAAATAGAGGCCAAGACCCTTCCACCTCATCTGGGAAAAGAGGGCTCTCCCACCCAGCTGGGTGTGACACCTGGCTCCGCAAGATGTGGCTCAGCCTCCTGGGGGGAGAGCCTGGTCACTGCTCGTTGTGGAGGGATACACTTTGGGACCAAGACCTCTGCCAGGGAAGGTGGCCCTGGCAGCAGCCTAACCCTACCAAAGGCACGGGCTTCCAGTGCCCCCTGGAATAGCATCCAGGTGGCCAAAAGGCACCACAGCCAGCCCCAGGTAGGCCCTGGGCACTTTGATCATGTGGTGAACATTGAGGTTGGAGCCCTGGCAGCCCTCCACCCCTCTGTCCTTTCTAAGCTGAAGCCCCCAGCTGAGCTCCGGGAAGAACCAGAGAAGATGGAAATGGAGGAGTCACCTCCAGCAGGGAAGGAGGAAGGAGAGAACCTGAAGGCCCCTAGACCTGAGCTGGAGAAAGAAGAACTGGAGAATAAACCACCCACACCTCCACTACACCGGTTTCCATCATGGGTAAGAGGCAACCTTGGGGCCAGACAGAGGGGCAGAACCATTAATAGGTTCACAGTCCACACACTGAGCATCCCTACTGCAGCTCTGAGGGGCCTCCCCAACCAACCCCGCTAGTGGGGGGCAGAGCCAGATCTGAAGTGATGTGGATGGTGGCTGGCAGTCATTTCTCAAGCCTCACTAAGTGCCACATACCAATCTGGGTGCTTTGTGCACATTTTCTCTTTTCATCTTTGTGACTTTTTGAGTGTGGGTTTAAGAGCACAGGTCCTAGGAAGAAACCACTAGGGTTAAAATGCTAACTGTGTGACCTTGGGCAAGTTACTAAACTCTGTGCCTCAGTTTCCCTACATAATTGGGGATAATAGTCACTACTTTATAGGGCTGTTGTGAGGATTAAATGTGTTGATAATTAAATGTGTTGATATCTAATAAGTCCTTGCAAGTGGTAAATGATATGTTAAGTGTTGAGTATTTTTATTTCTTTTTTMCTTTTTTCCTTTTTTACTTTTTTGGCATACTGGGGAGTTGAACCCAGGCCCTCACATGTGCTAGGCAAGTTCTCTACCACTAAGCTGCATCCCTGGCCCTTTTTATTTTTTCTTTTGAGACAAGGTCTCGCTAAATTGCCCAGGCTACCCTCAGATTTTGAATCCTTCTGCCTCAGCCTCCTGCATAGTTGGGATTACAGGGGTGAATCACCATACCACCTAGATATTTTCATTTCTGAGCCTTAGCTTCCTTACTTGTAACATTAGATAAAATTACACCATGTCTGGTGGAATCACTTCAGAATCAATGACCTTGGGTGGAGTTAGAGACATGGATGAAACAAGACCGGCCTTGTATGAGTACATAGTTGAGCTGGGCAATGGGTACCAGGTCATTATCTATACTGTTCTCCCTACTTTTGTGTCTGACATTTTCTGTGATAAAATGTTAACGTAAAAATGGAGTAGGTGGGGTGTTATTAACATTTCTTAGGTTAGCAGTGAGGATGGCATGAGTTGTAAAGGGCTTAAGTACAGGGCCTGGCATGTGGGAAGGATTCTCAGCTGTGCAAGGAATTGGTGCTGTTTCTCCCCTTTGGAAATTGCTGTCCCCTCCATTTTAGTTTTTTGCCCATGGTCCTGTGGGGATAGTGAGAGAGTCAGGCTTTGAACTGAGTGTCGACTGCCTTCAGAGCCCAGCACCAGCAGTCTAGCTGTACAGCCTCCGGGGGACATGGCCTGGGCAGTTGTCAAGTCTCTTACTCATGGTCAGACCAGATGCTACCATGTGAGGCAGCACTATGAGGGACAGCTGAGTGTTGGCTCCTGGCAGCAGAGGGAATGGGGTGCCCAGGGATGGGATTGTCTCCCCACACCACTACTTGGGAGATCCCTAATTTCAGGAGCGCTGGATCAGGGAGGCTCCTGTCCAGGCTTTTTGCATTCACCCTTAGCAGCAAATGCTGACCAGTTGCTGATGGTTACAGTGGAACCTGCAAACTGGGGACAAAGCTGAGCAGAAAGCAGGCTATACAGAATGTCAGGAGATGGGAAAGTGCCATGGCCCCATGGCTGACCATCCTTCAAGCCATGGCTGCTGATGCACTTCTTGTTCATTGTTGTCTTGCCCTGGAGCCCTAAAGCACAGGTGGGGCCAAGGGAACATCGGACAAGGGATAGGGCAGGAGAGCTTAGCAGGTGTTAACCCAGAAAAGTGTTGCTTACACTGATCATTTTGCCATATATCATCTACCATGGTGACTAAGAGTGGCTCTTAGTTCACATTAAGTGTGTGTGTATGTGTGTGAGAGAGAGAAAGAGAGTGGAGATGGGGAAGGGAGAAAGGAGAGGTTAGAATATATAAAATGCTTTAATGGCTCCTACCTGTAGTCCCAGGACAGAGGCAGAGGCAGAAGGATCACTTTAATCCCAGAGTTCAGGTCCAGCCTGGGCAACATAGCAAGACCCAGTCTCAAAAAACAAAAACAATAAAATGCTTCAGACCCTGTTGCCTGCGTGAATGTCGCCACACTCTAGGGTACAGGTTTTAAGGGGAAGCATCAAATCTTTCTGCAGACCCTTTCTCTCTCTCTCAGCTGGGTCCCAGGGACCCAAAGAGTTGGCCAACGCAATTTAAGGAGAGTTTTGTCTCCTGTTGTCAGTCCTCTTTGTAACTTGCTCCTGAGGGAAACAAGACTTAATGCCACAGTGTCAGTTCATCCAAGACCCCTGAGGTAGGATCACCCTGTCCCATGACAGCCAGAGGGCTTAGCCCCTCTCTAAGGCAGGACCTGGGCAGTGACCATCTCGGGGGGCGGGGCTGGGAATTAGAGGAGGACATTTTTTACTCTGAGGGAGTCAAAAACATTTATTTGCCTTTGGAGTCTGTAGGGCCTTTTTTCTCTTAATCCTTCTGTCAACTTTGTGAGGTAGGCATTAGATACACTTTTGCCAAATAGTACCTCAATCCCTTAAGCTTGAGTTTCATTTCCTTTGTGAAGTTAGAATAAACTTGATTTAATTCCGTGATCACTGCTGGCAGAAATCCTCTTTTCTCTGCCTAATTTCATGGCTTACACCTGATTTATCTACACTGTGCAAGCTCAGGAATCCCCTGCCTGCCTCAGCGCCCTATGGTCGTCCTTCCTCACTGCCCGCCACCTCTTGTCTTGCCGAGGCTCCAGTTACCTCAGCGTCTCCTCCCATTTCACTAGCCTCTCACCTTAGTTGCCCCCATGCTACTGCCTGCCTCTAGAGCTATACCCTGGTGTGCATCCTACTCCCTCCCAGCCCTGTCCCCAGCCCAGCTGGCCCCCAGCTGCCTCCCTGGGCTAGGCTGGCATTCCTCCCAAAGCTGACTGACCTTCCTCTCCAGCCCCTGTGACTCTTGTCACCTGAGCAGGCCTTTGTTCTCCCTGTGGGGTAAGCAGAGCAAATAGCTCTAGAATAGCCTGGGCAGGGCCTTGTGGTTTTTTAGGACAACCAACCTCCCAAGACCCAGGGGCCTCCTTAGGCCCCAAGGGGATGGGAGACCTTAGGGCCCATATTCTCTATGAGTGTCTTTGACTTTGGAGTTTTGAATTCCTGTTGGGCTAAATAGGCTTTATAGGTTGTCCCTGAGGCCTAACTATGATTTAACAGTGTTGCTATAGGAAGCCAGCATGTTCTAGGTTCCAAATGGCTGGCTTTCCAAAGAGCATACCATCCCCGTGTAGCTCTGACTTCCTCATTATCAACACCTCTAACTTCTCCCATAATTAAAAAAAAAAAAAATCACTTGATTCCACACCAGCCTCCTGGAAGGTATTATTGTCTCCACTTTGGAGCCGAGGGAAATGAAGCTCAGAAATGAAGAAACTTGGCTGAGATCCCTTAGACAGTAACTGGCCCACCCAGGTCTGCCCACCTCCAAAGCCATATTTTCCATTTGCTGGGGCCAGGCACTGTCCTAGGCGCTGACCTGGGACCTCTCATTTCAGGAGARCCGGATCTATGCAGTGGCCACTTCAGGCATGCAGCTGTCAGATGTATCTTCCCGGAGTCACGTTGCCTGCTGTGGTGAGTCCAAGCAAGGCTCAAAGGGCTTGAATGCCACTGGTGGGCAGAGTGGGCAAGTAGGGAGGTGGAGACTGAGCAATATCCAGGGTCGGGATGGCCTGGTGCTAGTGCCCGTCCCCAGCAGGAGCAGTTCAGGTGCGGTCCCACGGGACCTGAAAAGAAGTTATGCAGGTTCAGCCCTGACTGCTGGCTCCAAAGTTACTGGCCAGCCCCAGCATGCCCACAGTGATTGGAGCCATGGACACATGGCAAGAGTGGAACACGTGCAAACCATGTGGAGGGGTAAATGATTAAAGGGCAAGAATTTTGGATTTCATTGCGGTAGGTCCTCTTCTGTGTGGTCTCCAAAGGAAGTCAAGGGGAACGGAAAGGAGGAAGATGCCTCCCCGACATACCTCTCTGCCACCTTAGTTCATCCCATCCCTCTTTTCCCCCAGCTTCAAGCCCTCCTGCCCTTGCATCCCCTGTGTCTTTCTCTGGCCTTGTCTACAAGAATGTCACTGTGCCTGTCTACACAGCACTGAAAGGGGTAAGAAAGGACTATGCAAAGAAGGGATATCCCCATCAGTAGAGCCCCTGGGCTTGGCATGCAGAGACTTGGGGGGGAGGGTGTTGAGGGCCAGGCACCTGCATGCAGTGACCTTGAACAGTGAACTGAACCCATCATATATGTCATTTTGATTTGTTATTTATAATTCTGATTATAAGAATTCTGCATTTATAAAAATCTGAGCCAGTAAGAATGTGGCAAAACAAGAAGTTAAACGTTAGACCTCTGCCTGCTCCAATTCCACTCCCATCTTTTCTCGTGTCTTTCTCATTTCCTAGGTCCCAGAGGGCAGTGGGACTCCTTCGAGAACTGGTTATATATGTTTATACATACTCCCATGACACTGCTAACATTGCTACTCATTTTAAGCAAAAATCAGATGTACTGCAACAGGATGCTTCCATACACATTTTGTCTTTTTGTTATTTGTTTTTGAATCATAATAAAAAGTTTGATAAAACTTCTGATGGAAGAATAAAAAAAATGAAGTTTCCTCTCATAGTTATTTTTAATTCCTAACCCCAGAGAGAACTATCATTCATGGTTTGGTGTTTATTCTTTTGGGCCCTCTGCTGCATTTATTTACAGATGCACTTATAAATATTTACGTGCCCTCTCTTTCTCTCTCCCTCTTTTCCTCTTTCCCTCTCTCCTCATTTTTTCACACATGCACGCCTACATATGCACACAAAGGGTATATGATACACATCATTCTATGTCTCTATTGCTCTCTTGACATAGATATCCTTGTACTTAAATATACAGAATTCTAAAGGTGGAATCTCTGGGCAGATTATATGAGTGTTTTAGGTGTTGACAGGTACTGCTACATTATTTTCTTAAAAATGCCTTATGGGCTGGGAGTGCCACAGAGCACTTGCCCAGCCATGTGTAAAGCCCTGAGTTTGATCCCTAGCACCACACACACACACACACACACACACACACACACACACACACACACACAAATAGACTTTGTCACGCTGGAGTATTCCAACCTCCTGCTATTTCCCCAAACTTTCACCAACATTGAGATAAATAATCAGTCTTTTTAAATGTTTGCCTTTCAAGAAGATCTCTCACTCCTGTTCCTCACTCCACCTGACCTGTAGCATGGCTTTCTCTCCCCCTGGTGGAGGGAGCGAGGGACACAGCAGGCAGGGTGCAGTCTGGATAGGATAGTTTTTTGGGGACCATAGAAGATGATGTGTATAGGAGGGAGGAACGTCATGGAGGTAAGAACATGAGTGAAGTCAGGAAGGAACCTGACTGTTTGGGACACTTGTCTTTTCAGTGATGGGCGAATGGCCCCTGTGTTGCCCCAGACAGGCTGTGAAGGCCATGCCTGGGCACTTGGAATCCAAGTATAAGCTGTTGGGTAAGAAAGGCTTGTTTTGTAGCCTGAGCTTCAGTCGGGGAGGGGACTTGTCTTGCAGAGAGCCATGCAGATCAGCAATGTGCCCTTCGCTGACGACTCCTCTGGGTCTGATGATGACTGCAGCTCTCAAGCCAGTTTCCGAATATCAGTCCCTTGTTCTGAGTGCAGGAAGACCAGCGGACTAGGCAGTCCCCGGGCCATCAAGAGAGGTACAGAGAAGGGGGGCAGGAGGGTCCCCTCACCCCTTTCCATGGGATTTGTCCATGGGGGACCTTACTTGATCTGTACTTGGGATCCCCAACAGCTCTACCCTTAGCCCCAGACTGGAGGTCCCAGGTCTGTGATGAAGACCCTGTAGCCCCTGGGCCATGTGAGTTGGGAGGTGTGGGACCCAGACCTTGATTCCTCTTCTGGTGGCCAGGGGTCTCCATGTCTTCACTGAGCTCCGAGGGTGACTACGCCATTCCCCCTGATGCCTGTTCACTGGACAGTGACTACTCAGAGCCTGAGCACAAACTTCAACGCACCTCGTCCTACTCCACCGACGGGCTGGGCCTAGGCGGGGTGAGCAGCAGAGGGCATAGTGGGACAGACCTGCCGGGGCTAAGGGGGTTAGGCCCCTGGGTTGGTACAGAGAGGGAGGCAATCCTGGAGAGTGGGCTGGGGGTGTCCACTGATGGAAGCAGATGTACACAGACCCCAGGCTCGGGGTGGGGGGGGGAGCGAGGAGCGTAGGGAGCTCCTTGGTACCCTATGAGGGGTTCGCACCTGTTGCTTTATCTCCACACTGACCCTCGGATGCTGACGTGAGCTGTCAGATTGTGCTTTACAGGCATAGTCTTCAGTGCTCGCACTTCACATCTCATTTGTCCTTGTAGTCCTCTTGGGATTATTGCCCTGTTTGGGGATTATTACCCTGTCTTAGGGATGAGACACTTAAGGTTCCGACTTGCACTACATGCCAGGGCCAACAGTGAATCCAGACCTAATTCCCCAGCCCTGACTCCACTCTACTCCACTGCCCTATCTACCTGCCCACCTCCACAAACCCTCTACCCTGGCCTGTGCCCACTGTTCCCCAGGCCAGCCTGACCTCTCATGCCATGCCGCCTAGAATGACCTTCCTCCTCAGCATTTTTTAAAAATACTTATTTTTTAGATGTAGTTGAACACAACACCTTTATTTTATTTATTTTTATGTAATGTTGAGGATCAAACCCAGGGCCTCGAATGTGCTAGGTGAGGGCTCTACTGCTGAGCCACAACCCCAGCCCTCTCAGCCTCCCAAATTCTTTGAAGAATTTCATCATTCAGGTCTGGTTTTTTCCTGAAGCTCTTCCTAGCCGCCCTCTTGCACTGAGCCCCTGATCTGCCACCTTCTCATGGCAGACCAGGAGTTATCTTCCCCAGCCATGTGGGAGCCCTCCCCTGCAGGACCATCCTGGCTTTTCTACTCTTCTCTGAACCCCCAACAGAGTATGGTGCCCAGAAAATAAATACAAGGAATAGGCACCTAATAAGTTTTTTAAAAATTGCCAGGTGCAGTGGCACATGCCTGTAATCTCAGCGGCTTGGGAGATCAGCTGAGGCAGGAGGATGGTGAATTCCAAGCCAACCTCAGCAGAAAGTGAGGTGTTAAGCAACTCAGTGAGACCCTGTCTCTAAATAAAATACAAAATAGGGCTGGGGATGTGGCTCAATGGTCAAGTGCCCCTGAGTTCAATCCACAGTACCAAAAAAAAAAAAGTTTTTAAAAAATTGATGGCAAAGCAGTGATTCAGCTGGACCATTTTGGCTTGTGTGATGTAGATCCCCAAGTGATTTCCCCTTTCTGTCTCCCTCTCCCTCTCCCTCTCCCTCTCTACTTTCTCACCCCTCAGGAGTCACTGGAGAAGTCAGGCTACCTGCTGAAAATGGGAAGCCGGGTGAAGACATGGAAGAGGCGCTGGTTTGTCCTGAGACAGGGACAAATTCTGTACTACAAGTCCCCGGTGAGACCCCTCCTCCAGCACTGGAGGTAGAAGGATTACAGTCCAGACTCAGAACTGTATGATAAGGACTGAAAGAAAGGCAGTGTGTTCAAGGCCAGAGCACAGAGATCTGACAGGCAGTGAGAGGCACTCAAAGCTCTGAGACACACAGGGGACCATGAGGCTGGGCATGGCTTCTCACAATGAAATAAGGCACAAGACAGTCAAGGCAGCCCCTGGCCAGCTGACTTGGGAATTTCTTCTTCCTTCAGAAGCCGATTGCTTCTCATGTTTAGTCCTGTAAAAAGATCTGTTCCTAGGCTGCCCTCACTTCATCTGGATTATTCTAACAGACAACCCATTACCTTCTCCACCTCTATCTTTCCATTGTCTGGAATTAAGGAGCCTTGATGTTGGGAACTAGTTTGACAGGACCTCCCTAGAGAACTAATTTTAATTATTGAAGAGGGAAAATCGGCCTTGCTCTTGTGTAGATCCTCTTTGATTGGTAGTGGCTGTCACCAACTCCATACTCTCTGTTAAGGATTCTGGGTCTATATTTCTCTATGATAAGCATTCCATGATTGATTGATGATGTCTGCACTGATAATGGAAAGAATAATAGTAATGATATATATGCCACTTATTTGCCATGTTTCATATAAGAATATAGTGAAAAGTTTTATTTTGTTTTTGTTTAAGATGGGGTCTTATTAAGCTACCAAATCTGGCCTTGAATACTTAAGTTTAAGAGATCCTCCTGTCTCAGCCTCCCAAGTAGCTGGGACTACAGGTCTATACCATCACACCCACTTTAACAAAAAGAATTTATAGGGACTTTATCATTGAATAATAATTTGGTAGCCTCTGACCCAATTTTAAAGGCTTACTCAGTCTTTATTGAGGCTTGTATTGGAAAGACCCATTCTTCTAAATATAGCTTTATTTAGCTAGAACCAGAATGTAGAACAAGTTACCCATCATACCATACCAGGAAAGCTTGGGAATAACTTTTCCCGTTGCCTATGACCTGAGTAAGATATGAGGGTAAATGATGCTCTGAGAAGCCTCCAATGCTTTGCTCTCTGTTCCTCTCTTTACAGAGTGATGTCATTCGGAAACCTCAAGGTCAAGTGGATCTGAACTCCCATTGCCAAATTGTTCGAGGGGAGGGTGCACAGACATTCCAGGTGAACCTGATCAGAGCAGTTGGTATTTTAGGCAGATCAGATGCTAGGTTTGGATATGACTATGTTTGAGACAAAGATGGGGCAAAAAGAACATGAATGAAAGACTTAACATCAACATTAGGATGTTGTACTACATTGTGAATGTAAGGAAGGAAGAGGAGACTGTGAGATGGAGTGAAGGTAGGAAAGATAGGGAGGAAAAGAAGGAAGGGAGCAACAGGGTAGGAATAAGGAAGATCCAGTGAATTCAGGATGTTGTGTCATCTCAGAGCTTGTCTTGCTGCCTCTGGCCTCAATCCTTTGCCCTCCACAGCTTATCTCAGAGAAGAAGACCTACTACCTGACAGCAGATTCACCCAGCCTGCTGGAGGAGTGGATACGGGTCCTACAGAACTTGTTGAAGGTACAGGCCACCGGGCCTCCAGCCCTGCCTCAGGGTGGCACCAAGCCCACTGTGAAGGGCTGGCTGACCAAGGTATGAGGGAGCTGAGGGGAGGAACCTCCTGAGTCAGGGAGCCAGGAGTGGGAGGGGCAAAGAGTGGTGGTCTCCCTCCTTTCCCATAGTTCCTAAATCCAGGGGCTTCTCATGTAACTAGCTGGTTGACCCTCAAACATGGCCTAACAACATAAGGTGATGGTGATGGTATCCAGGAAGCAGAGCTAAGGATTGTTAGAACAAGTATTCCCAATACAGGAAGGAAAGCAATGGTTTTACTCCATTTTGAGGTCATTAGGGGTTGCCCCCACATTGTATCCACCATGCCTCAGAATTAACAGTGTCAAGAAGAGACTTGGGCAGGTTGGGAATAGCCAGTCATCCAAAGACTACAGTGTCCTAGGCCTGCCCTAAAGACATTTTAGTTAGGGCTCTTCTGGTTGCAGGGAACAGAGAACCATTTGCTAACCCAAGGAAAGGGAAGTTAACAAGGAAGCACTTAGTGACAACAGACACCCCAGAGCCAGAGCAGCTGTGCTCAGCAGTCTCAGGGCTTATGGGCTCTCAGCCTCTGCTTCCCCCTTCAGGCTGTGTTGATGCCATTCTCTGCATCTGAGTAGTTTCTGTTCCCTCATGATCTGTGGTCACCCAAGGGTTTCAGCCTGCCTTGGCTCTTACCTTCCTTGCATCCTAACAACCCTCGCCTCTGCCAACTAGCAAGTTCTTCCTGTGTTCACATTCCTGGAAGGGATATCTGATTGTCCTGGTATCCATCTTTTTTTTTCCTTTAAGATTTTGATGGACCTTTATTTTATTAATTTATTTATATGTGGTGCTGAGAATTGAACCCAGTGCCTCACACATGCTAGGCAAGCGCGCTGCCATGTGCCACAACCCCAGTCCCTTGGTATCCGTCTTTTAATGGTAGGTCATAGGTCACTGAATAGCCCAAGGAAGGCTGGTGTACACATCATCATGGTCTTTTCTGTGATAGGGGTTCTATTAGTAGGGAGTCTAACTGGCATTTCCACTAAGGACCTGAGTCTTCTCTTTGGCTTCTTTTTGCCAGTCCTGGATTTTTTTCTGGGGCCCTCTGGTTCTAATAATGCTAGTTCATTTCTGTCCTCCAGGTAAAACATGGCCACTCCAAGCTAGTCTGGTGTGCTCTTGTTGGAAAAACCTTCTACTATTACCGGAGCCATGAGGATAAGGTACCTCAACTTCCTGACAGCAACTATTCCCCCAAGTCACATTGCTGTGGCTCCATGTCCTGATGTCAGTCCCCATCTTTACCCTGTACCCAACCAAACCCACAACTAGTACAACAGCCAGCTGGCTAGATCTCTCCAGAGCATGCGGCCAGCATGCAAAACCTGTGTGGTCTATTGGTTATTCTCAAATAAGCCTCATTCTGCTCCCAGCCTGGCTGTAATGCTATAGCTTCCAGCTTCCCATCCTGTCGTCTGTCCACATCCAAGACTCCCACCCTCTAGAGCTTAAGTATTCAGAGAGAGGAAATTCCCTCATCCCCCTGGTTCTCCCACTCATGGATGGCTCATGTCTACAGCGACCCCTGGGTCGTCTGCCTGTGCGGGATGCACGCATAGAAGAAGTAGATCGATCCTGTGACTCAGATGAGGACTATGAGGCTGCAGGAACCAGACGGTTACTTTCCTCCCACTGTACGCTGGTGATCCATCCTCCAGAGCACAGTCCTACCTACCTGCTCATTGGTACCAAGCATGAAAAGGTAAGATAGGAGTTGGGCCTTGGTGGCCAAACTTGGACTTGTGATTTTGATCTTCCTTTCTCTTTCTTTATCTTTTTTCTTTCTTTCTTTTTTTTTAATGTATGGGCCTTTATTTTATTCATTTATTTATATGTGCTGAGAATCAAACCCAGTGCCTCACACATGCTAGGCAAGCACTCTACCACTGAGCCACAGCCTCAGCCCTTCCTTTTTTTTTTTTTAGAAAGAGAGAGAGAATTTTAATATTTATTTTTTAGTTTTCCGCGGACACAACATCTTTGTTTATATGTGGTGCTGAGGATCGAACCCAGGCCACAAGCATGCCAGGCGAGCACGCTACCGCTTGAGCCACATCCCCAGCCCCTCAGCCCTTCCTTTCTCTTTTGCCTGAGTCTCCCTAAATTTATTTCCCTCTTTTAATACTTTGGCAATTAATATTCTCTGAATGAGAATATAGCTTTCCATTGAATTCATTCCCGGTGATCAGCATCTTCCCTGGGGCCATGAGATAGAACCAACTTGGAAATAGGTCCCTGTTCACCTGATCCCTAATCTTTCCCCTTAGAAACTAGTAACCTTGACTCTTGCCAACCACAGTGGCTGAATCCCACTGTGGGAATCCTCTTTGGAACTTTTACCTCCACTCTTTCACTCCCCCATATCCAATGGCTTCCCACCTTCTTCCAGGATACGTGGCTTTACCACCTCACAGTGGCTGCAGGTGGCAGCAGTGCCAAGGTAGGCACTGCCTATGAGCAGCTCATTGGGCAACTGATGGATGGTGAGGGAGACCCAGGTAAGGTAAGGGTGGCCATTGTGGTGTGGGTTGGAGGGTGGAGGCTAGGTGCTTATTGGACAGGAACCCAAAGAAAGCACTGTGGACCCCTGGGGCTGTGCTAAATATAACTAATTCAGAACAGGAGCCCCCATCCTACTTTTCAGGGCCCCTATGTCTCTGTCTAAGACACTCGGGGGGAGTTTGTCTGGGAAGCAGACTGTTCAGTGATCTGGGTAAATGTTTCACTCTTCAGACCACAGCTTTGCTGGCTGGGCAGAGGACTGAGGAAAGGAGGTAGCTGGTTAATCTATAGTTAGACTTTGTTAATTAATAATTTGAGCCTAAATTTGATCAGGCTAAACTAAGCCTGGGGCTGTTTAGGGGTCTTTATTTTGCTACTGAGTCTCAGGGTCCTCAGGAACTAACCAAGGCACACACCACACACAGCCTTTTACTGCTACTGTGAGGCTTATGTAATGTGTGTGCTCCTTCAGCCAATTCTGCACCATAAGGCAGAGACCTGCCCTCACATACACTTACGCTCAGGTGCATCCCAGCCAGGCACACTCACCCTTCTTGCAGTTCTGTAGCAAAGTGCTGACTGCCTTCCGGTGTGAATGAAGTGCACCCCTGCATACCCTGTAGTCTGTGACTGATAAACTCAGAACCACCCATGTTTCCCAGAGAGTTAAATCATTGTCTTCCTCACAAACTAAAGTTGGGGCTGGGAGGGTGGGAGGTGAGTTCCTTCCTCAGTAGTAACTGTACTGCTTTCTGGTGCTGTGCTTTGGACAGATTCCCCACTCTGGAGGCACCCTATGCTGTGCTATAGCAAAGATGGGCTGTGTACCTCCCTCACCACCCTGCCCTCTGAGGCTCTGCAGACAGAGGCTCTCAAGCTCTTCAAGGTAAAGTAAGAGCATAGCCCAGGCCCATCAACCAGTGGTGTCCACATTGCATGCCCAGGCTTGGCCTGGAGCAGCCTAAGCCTACTGTTGTGATAACATGGGTGGAGGAGATAGGGTAGCCCACAGGGGGATCCAGAGAGAAAGGGAAAGAAGGTCCCCCAAGGTCCCCCAATGGCTTCCTTTACGGCAACCTTCCTTTATGGCAGAGGGAAGCTCTAGGACTTTGAGAAATGCCAGTGAAAACTCTCTCTTGAAGGATGCCCTCCTATATTCCACAGTAGGAAGGGCCAGGTTTACATTGCTTCTGGACTTCAGAGACTTTGACCTATTTAAAAATGTTCTTTGTGCTCATCTGAATTTTTTAATATTTATTTTTTAGTTATAGGTGTACACAATACTTTTATTTTATCTTTGTGTGGTGCTGAAGATCGAACCCAGTGCCCCAAGCATGCTAGGCAAGCGCTCGACCTCTGAGCATCAACCCCAGCCCCGCTTATCTGAATTTTTAAATGAATTTGCTTATGTAAGCTAACTTTGTCTTGCTTGTATAATGGAAACATTTAAAGAAGGAAAGATTCATTCAGTGAGATGAAGTGGTACACACCTGTCATCCCAACAACTCAGGAGGCTGAAGCAGAAGGATCATAAGTTCAAGGCCAGCCTCAACAACTTAATGAGACCCTGGCTCAAAAGTAAAAAATAAAAAGGTTTGCGGATGTAGTTCCGTGGTAAAGCAGTCCTGGATTCAATCCCTAGTACCAAAAAAAAAAAAAAGGAATGATTCTATCCCAGAATAGCCACTTCAGCATAGATGCTTGTAAGCAGTAACAATGCTCTTTCCTAGAAAGAGCTGTCTGTGGTGAATTTGAGCCTCCCTTAAGGCTCTGCTTGGGGTCAGAGACACCATTGCACTGTCAGAACAATAATCATGGTGCTGTCTCTGCCTGTACCACTGTTGTTCCCCTCCCAGTCCTGCCAGCTCTTCATCAATGTGCCCGTAGAGGCTGCCTCAGTGGACTACCACGTGTCCCTGGCCCAGACAGCACTGCAGGTGTGCCTGGTTCACCCTGAGCTGCAGAGTGAGATCTACTGCCAACTCATGAAGCAGACCAGCTGCCGCCCACCTCAGAAGTACTCCCTCATGCAGGTTAGCATTCCCTGGGGATGGAACATCTGAACAGAACCACTGGCAAGGACTGCCCAGGAAGAAAAAAAAGTGGAAGGTGATGGGCAAATTGTGCTCTGTGCCAAGCGAGCAAACAGCCTCCATGCTCTGAGCTGCCTCAGTACAGCTTATCTGTCTGTGCATTGTCAGATTGTGTGATCACCATTCTGAACAAAGCCTGACCAAGCTGGCCAACCCGGTTCCCACAGAAGGTTGGGGGGTTCTGGTGTGGGGAAAGAGTGCCAAACGTTTTGCAGCTTGGAACTGCAAGGCAGGGGCTCTGCAGACCCAGCACACAGCCCACCCTATGTGTCCCCTGGCAGTGTTGGCAGCTCCTGGCTCTGTGTGCCCCACTTTTCCTGCCTCAGCATCATTTCCTCTGGTATGTTAAGCAGCAGCTCCAACGCCATGCAGATCCCAGGTGAGTAGATGTGTTTCTGCTGCCACAACTGATTAAGGTATGATTAAGAGGGATGATGGAGAGACTAGATAGAGCAGATTGTTCCTCCCCTCCAAGATTTGCTCAGGATTGAAAGATGTTGTCCATTATCTTGTGCAAACAGGCACATGGAGATCTGGGCATGCTTAGGCTTCTCTGCACACCAATCCATGTGTTTTGGGGTGTTTTGTAGAGGAGTTCATGTGAAACCATATTGCCCCCAAGTTGTCCCCAAATATTCACTCTTTCTATGTTGTTCTGGCTTCTGCAAGAAAACATGCATGCTAGCAGTCTACCACAGATAGGTTATGAATGACAAATTAATACTCTAGTCTTAAGGGCTTTTCCTACAACCTACCCCTGCTAGTTTTGGTGCTAGCTAAATTGGGTAGGCACCTGGGTACCACAGAGGCAGGGATGATCAGAGTGCCTAGTGTTCTTATCCTCCTGGCTTTTTAGAAATGAAACTGGCCAGTATGCCACCTACTGTCAGCGGGCAGTGGAGCGGACTCTGCAGTCAGGGGAGCGGGAAGCCAGACCATCACGCATGGAAGTGGTGTCCATCTTGCTGCGAAACCCCTTCCACCACTCCTTGCCCTTCAGCATCCCTGTGCACTTTGCCAACGGGACTTACCAGGTGAGGAAACTGGCTGAGCTTTCTGACCCAAGTGTTCTTACTGTCTAGAGGAAACATCTCTGGCCCAGGTGAGTGCCAAGCCTCTGTGGGCTTTCAGATTCTTAACAGGGAAACCAGAAAAAGGGATGAGCTTAGAATTTGGCATGGGAGGGGGCATTAATTCATGTGTTTAGGGAGAAAGGAGTTTGAATCACAGAAGCACTTCATTGTGTGGTTCTCTGGAAGTAGATCTCTTTAACTATCACATGAACAGGGAAGCTGACATATGACTAGGAAAGTGGCATGAGACTGAAGCCCCAAGAGTGACAGTGAAGAAGGGACCAAGCTTGTCTCTTCTGGTTTACAGTGGGCAGGCTCAGCTTCCTTCCCCTGGCCTTCTGTGTCTGAATATGGAAACCATCTTGCCTGGTTCTTTTGCATTCACCCTTGCTCCTCTCCACCTGCTATAGAAAGCCTCCACAAGCCTACTGAGCTCAGAGTGCCTCCCTCCTCCACAGGTGGTTGGTTTTGATGGCTCCTCCACAGTTGATGAGTTCCTGCAGCGGCTGAATCAGGAGACGGGCATGAGGAAATCATCCCACTCTGGCTTTGCTCTCTTCACCGATGATCCTTCTGGCAGGGATCTGGAACACTGCTTGCAGGGGAGTGTCAAGGTGACAGCCTCCCCACTTAGCCACCCCAGACTCAGGAATACTAGTGCCATCCAGTGGGCACCTGACTATTCAGTAGCACATTTGGTGCTGAGCCCAAGGTACTTCCTGGGCCAGCATTTTTATGCTAGTCTAAAATGTAGCTGTGTGGGCAGAACAAAAATGCATGTACCCTCATCTCTGGGGACAAGATCTCCATACCCTGCCTCCATCCAGTGGCCCTGCAGCATCCAGAGGAAAGAGCCTCTTCTCAGCTTGGTATAGGGGCAGGAAAGCTCTGCTAAGCCTACATCTGCCCACTCATAGGCAGAGAACTGTATGCCTGGACCCACTGTGTGCCATCTTATGCACCAGGACCTATGCTATGCTTATAGTTGTTTTATTTATTTATTTATTTAAAATTAAATAATTAATTAATTTAAAATAAGTAGGGATTGCTTTACTACTAAGCTACATCCCCAGGCCCTAGCTTATAGGTTTTAACAAAGTAGATCCTTCTTGTACCTGTGTTATTAGAGGCCCTTAAATGGGATTGAAGACCAATCTGTATTATGGTCTACAATTAGAATGAGAGTCTTAGTGTGTATGGGAATGTGCTGCAGCACTTGATGAGTATATTTGAATCTGTCTTTACAACAGCAGGACAAGGGCTTCTAATCTTACCACTTCCAGGAAAAAAATATGCCAGATATCTTCCTCATAAGTGTCTGAAGGCCATTGGGTATATTTGTTGAAAAGAATGGCAGTCGGTAGAATGGAAAAGGAGCCAGTGAGATGAGGCCACGGTTTCAGGGGCCCTGCATAGCCTCCAGGAAGCCCCCTCGACTATGAAGGCAGTGGGACAGCGTTCCTTGCTTTGCTGCTCACCATGCCCAGGGCAGGTTGTACCTCCCCATCCATTTGTGAGGGAGTGGCAGTACTGCAGGTCCTGGGAGTATGAGGCCCCACACAGGTCAGTCACCTGATGGGAACACTGACAGTTCTGTCTAAGTCCAGGCAACCAGGGCTGGACCTTTTTGCCCTCACAAGGGGCTTCTTTGACTTTGCTCTTTTGCCTCTTCAAGATCTGTGATGCCATCTCCAAGTGGGAACAAGCCCTGAAGGAGCTGCACCCTGGAAAGTCTGAGGGTGGGACACGCGTTGTGAAGCTGATGTACAAGAACAGGTCCTGAGCACTGCCTGTGGGAAAACATGAGGACTGCCAGTGGGGGCCAGCTCATCACCTCCTCAGCTGGATGGCCTGTCCTAGACAGGCAGATGGGCCCACAGATCCAACCCTGCCTGATGGGCATTAGCTGAGGTGCAGGCCGGCGCTGCTCCTACTCCTGAGACATTGGGCAGCTCAGGCTTTGTCAGCCAGGCAAATAAGTTCCATTAGTCTCCTGGAATCTTAACTCATCCAACACCCTAATAAACACTGATTCCAGGTGCTAGATTCCTGTCACCAAATCCATTAATCTAATGGTATATTCAGAATTAGCCACATCCTGCTGTGGTTATAAGATCTGCATGGTCCTGCATCTGCTCTGTCATACTTGATTATGTTTCTGGGGCAATAGGAAATAGTTATAAAGAATTGTGGGGTTTTTGTTTGTTTTGGAAATCAAGATAAAAAGATCCAGAGAAAGCCTCATCCCTGATTGGGATCCCAGCTGAAACTTGGCTTCTCACTCTTTTCCCTCTAGGCTGTACTTTCGGAGTCAAGTCAAAGGGGAGACAGAGCGAGAGCGACTGTTGCTTGCCTTCCAAACCAGTGGAGAGATAGTGGCAGGGAGATTTCCTGTCAATAAAGAACTGGCTCTTGAGATGGCCGCCCTGATGGCCCAGGTATGGTTCTGTCTGTTCAGGAATTATAAGGGTCAGGAGGCCATCTTGGGACTCCCAGGTGGAATCTCCAAGGCAGGTGGAATCACCATGCAGCCTGAAATATTAGAGATTTCTGCAGATCTGGTGGTGTCCAGAAGAGGGCAGCATGCTGTCCTGGGTACAGACAACAGACAGCTTACCCACTGCAGACAGACTACAGTCCAGAATGCTGGACTGGGAATTCAAAACAGGGGTTTGAGTCCTAGCCATGTTCCCATGTGAAATGTTGGCCAAGACATGTCATTTGTCTATGCTTTAGTTTCCTACTCTGTATACTAAAAACAGAATACTTCCCTTCCTGCATCCACAGGGTTGTACTACTAAGTATGATGCTTAGATAACAAATATCTCATAATGTATGAGATAAAATGTATAAAGCATCCAACATTATAAGTAGAATTAGGAAGACCATACATTCAAACTTTGGCTCTCTTTCTATTACCTGTAGGAGCCATTCTTGCCAGAGGTATGTGGGATACCTCCATGGTCCCCATAAGAAAAAGGCTGGATCAACATGCTAGAAAGGAAGAGGAAATAATTGTTGATATTTATAAGTATTTTCATCAACATGGATATCCTATAGTGGGCCCTATGCTAAGCATTTTGTATGTATTTTCCCACGTAGTTCTCATTCCCACTTAGTTGAGGAAATTGAAGCTCAAAGTGTTTAACTTGATCAAGGACATAAAGCTCGAAATGACAGAACTGGGATTTGAGCCAGGTAGTCTGTCTTTCAGGATCTGTAGCATTGTCAATTCTATGGCCCATATTCTTTGATTAGAAACTAGAATTTCCACATTATTTCCCATGTCTTCCACTAATTAACTGTCTTTGGATAAGGTAATTACCTCAGCTGCAAAATGAAAGTTGGTCTAGACAATCTACAGTATTCTAGAACTCTAAGGTTATTTCTGTAGTGTTTATGAAACTTGAAATAAAGGTTCTGTTCACAGTATTTTTTAATATCCAATCACACCCCACAAATAAACAGTGGTTTAGTTCACCTCTCCAACAACATCCACCTGGCCCCATCTACCTCCAGACCCTTGTTAACTCCTATGTTTTTTTGCTATAGGTAGAATATGGGGACTTGGAGAAGCCTACTCTGCCAGGCCCTGGGAGCACACCCCCTGCCAAGACTCAGCATCTTCTCCAGCAAGTCCTAGATAGGTTCTACCCAAGGCGCTACAGACATGGGGCACCCCCTGAACAGCTGAGGTAGGTAGCCTGCAAGGTCTTGCAGGGAGGTATTGTGGGGAGGCCCCAGAGCTGTGATGAGACTTCATGGGCACTATTTCTCTCCATACACCCCAACAGGCATCTGATAGATATGCTGACCACAAAGTGGGCGGCACTGCAAGGCTGCTCCCCTCCTGAATGCATCCGCATCTACCTGACTGTGGCCCGAAAATGGCCTCTTTTTGGTGCTAAGCTTTTTGCTGCTCAGGTAAGTGCCAGTGGAAGGAGCCACATCCTCAGAAATATCCTAAATTTCTCCTGGAGCTGCACTCCCCATCTGGTCATGTTTGAGCCACTCCAGTCTACAACCCCTGCCTCCACACTACCAACCACAAGGGGTCACTATCTCTCCACCTATTTCTGACCTACTCCATGTTACCATGGTCCAGAGCACAGTTGTGATTCTAGCTTTATGAAAGTGTTTATTATAGACTTGTCAATGCTATTCCTGAAAGAGAAGAGGATCAACTAATTCACACACAAGGATTTCAACTTAAAATACTCCATTTTAAAGGAGTTTGAAAGAAACATGTATAACCTAAATAAATATCTATTAGCTTAACATGGCACACAGGGGAATCAGACTACATAGGCAAGAGTTAATTTCACCTCTGCATGAAGGCCAGGAGGCCAGTAGTTTTAGTTGGAACTTTTCCTCACTAGGCATCTGGAGTACATGAATTTTATAGAAAACAGATATTATCCTGTAACCAGACATTATAATCAGACATTAAGCTGCTCATGTTTCTGCTCACTGAAGCCAGAGTTCAGAAAATGGATATTCACTCATTTATCCAACAAATATTATCAAGTTCCTACTACATCTAATGCTACTTGTTTAAGATTATAAGAACTGAACAAATCAGACAGCCCTTGCCTTCATGAAGCTTCCCATATAATGGGGGAGATGCACATTAACCAAATAATAATCTATATATTCATTTTTTGTCTTCTCCCGCATCGTACATATGCACACATGTATATTTATTTATTTAAATTTTAGGGGGCTAGGGATTGAACCAGGGCCTTGAGTATGCTAGGCAGAGATTCTACCACTGAGTTACACTCTCAACCCCTATCATTCATATATATCATTAATTCATATATTTTCATATGTGTATGATGATATATATATATATTTACGTATGTATTTTTTTTACAAGTGGTTACAGGGATATGAAGGAAAAGTATAGGGGTGTTATAAAGGCATCTATAAAGAGGCCCACTTGATCTTGGAAGTTGGGGAAAGCTTCAGAAAAGGTGACCTGTCCATCTCTCCCTCTCCTCCTAGCCTTTTGAATAGGAAAGAAAAACCTTCTGAATCATCCCACTGCAGCCCTGGCAATACAAATTCAGGAAATGTCCACTACATGTCATGGTCTCACTAGTAAGGCTTAAGCCTACAAGATTGCATCCTTGTTTTTCCATTCTTTTAAAGTCCTTAGGAAATTGGTTAAAGCAAGATAAACTTCAGCTAGGAAACACTGTGAATGGAATGCTACGTTTCTGAGATCTGAAAGGAAACAGCCTGTTCCCCATGCAAAAGATAGGGCTGGCCTCTATTCTGCAGCCCAGAGCTTTCTGTCCAGTGTTTTGCAGCAGGATGATGTGATCCCATCCACCTCTGGGAGCATTAGTAGATGCCTCATGCCACAGACACTCTTGCCTGTTTATTAACGAATGCTATACAAATTATGTTTTCTGTATTTTCCAAGATGAGGTTGAAAATTACTGCTTAGCAGATCCCTGGATGTACCTTTATCCTCAGAAAGTACTTAATGGTTCAAATTCTCTAACCCTGGATATTATGTCTGATGGAATTTTTCTTAATCTGCAGCCTGCCAAGCTGTCTTCCAAGGAGAGCACTCTGGTATGGATTGCTGTGAATGAAGATGGTATCAGCATCCTGGACCACCACACTATGGTATGGAAAGAGGAAGGGTAGCTTTGATCCTTCCTCTTCCTCTTGTCTTCTCTCTGGATTCAAAGGTCTGAGATGACCATGGTTCCCTTACTTTCACCTCCTGTCCAAGCAGCACTGTCCTTTAGTCTAGACACAGCTTATAGAGATTCAACATGTATAATTCCAAATCATGACCACTTCAAAGTTCTTCCTTCCTGTTTAAGTTTATCTGTGCCTAAAAGAGACAGGTGAAGGTTCCCCAGAACTCACTGGCTCCTTTCCACAGCAAGTGCACATCACTTACCCCTACTCTTCAGTGACAACCTTTGGTGGCTACAGGGATGACTTCATGCTTGTGATTAGAACCATTCCAGACCAGGGGTCTGGAAAAGCACACATTGAGAAGTTGATCTTCCGGATGACTGCTCCTAAGGTGAGTAACTGCAGCTACAAAATTTTACTCTGGTCTTGTGGGATGTTTTAGCTAGGAGCTTAGAGAGGAAACTGGGGTCACCATAGAACCTAGAAGGCCCTGCCCCAGGTAAAATTTCAGGTCCTGTATATATTCAGCTTCCCAGAGGGTTTAGGTAGCATTGTATCTTACTGTCATTGGTAGGCTAGTAGGTAGAGGTGCTATCAGGAGGGAACTAACTATGATCCAGCCTCTACTATGCTCTTACTTTTGTAATTTTCACATACACCAGAACCATGCAGGCCTGAGTTGGTGTTCATTTGTTTGTCTTTTCTGCAGCTGGCCCTGGGGTAGGGCAGTGTCCTCTTGAAGGTACTCTCATGTTCTCGTTCTGCTGCCACAACACTAGCCACAAAGTAGGACAGTCTCTGCTATGCACCCTCTTCCTTGTGATCTCTAAGGCAACAAAAATACCTCTTTTGCTTTAAGGCACTATTCCTACTCAGTACAGGAAATATTGACCATCAAAAGTAACAGTTACAAAGGCTCATAAACCTGAGTTCTTTTTTAAAAAAAAATATTTATTTTTTAATTGTAGGTCGACACAATATCTTTATTTTATTGATGTGGTGCTGAGGATTGAACCTAGTGCCTCATGCATGCCAGGCGAGCGCTCTACCTCTGAGCCACAACCCCAGCCCCTCATAAACTTAAGTTCTGATTTATTATTCCTGACACCCTTCTGATAGTAACTAGAAACCCTGTTGATCCCACTCTTAATCCTCAAGTTGTAGTTTGCCAAATTCCACCTCCTTCTGATATCATCCCTGCTGAACGAGAGGATGCGTGACCTCTTCCCCAAGAAGGACCTCTTCCCTGGCCGTAGAGATAACCAGAGCAGAACATTAGCCCTCTTCTCAGGAGGGCACCACACATCTTGGAGGAACTCCATACCATTCACTGGGTCCCTGAATCTCATAACGATCCCCTTTGGACACTTTCTTTTGGGTGGGTAGTTTGAGAGAGATGAGCTGAAGCCTGTGAACGTCATATACTCAATACAACAGCCAATTGAGAAAGCCAGCACTCAAGCAAAGACTAGCTTAATTCTTTTGCTTCTTTGGCCCCCTTAGATTGCTGAAACTACCTTCATCATGGCCAGCTACATGAACCACTGCTCTACAACCGTGAACCCACCTGCCAACTCACCTGCAGCCCGCCAGCCATGGGAGCTAGATGGACGACAGTTCTTTGCTTCTGTTTCCTGTGCCACCAAGGGGCCAACATTGCTGTGAATATTTCTCCTACCCTCTCCCCACCACCTCTGGGATTAGAGATTTGTATCCTAGGATATGGTACTACTGTGATGGGTCTAATAGAACTCCCTGCACACTATTCTGTGAAATGTATATTTCAGCGTCTATGAAGACTACTCTCTAGATGCCTTATAATATTTCAGAGCCCAGCTTTTACAAATCCAGACCCAGTATTGAAACGACTTATTCCCCCCACCACGACCCATAAGAATACTGACTCTGGATGCTATCTGATTCTAAACATAGACAGGGATGGCCCACTGTCCCAATGTTACTGAGGGTCACAGTGCTGTATTTGGGGCTTCTGCACTGATTCCTTCAGGGAAGATCATTGTTATATTGTATGTGATCTTTGTGTGGAGAATTATACTTGAAGTTTTCTGAAAAGAATAGGATAAAAATTTCCAATTTACCTGAATTCTGACAAAAGCCAAGAATTAAAACTAGACTTCCTTTTCCAGATGGAAATGGGTTGGCAGGACTAGAGAAAAACAAATGGACTATCTTTTCCCCTCTACTGATGAGTAGGATCCACAGTGCTCCTTCTGAGGCAGCAGCTCCAAATTTTGCAGAATGAAACACTAACCCTGCTGCATTTCATGTTTTTTGTACACTGGACTGTAAACTGAACTCAGTACTACACACTGTCCAAGCAAGGACAGGAAAAGGTGGGTCCAGTCTGACTTCTGTCTCACTTCAGCACCTGGATGGGACTGTGAAGGTTGTGCTCACTACTGAAGGAAAGGTAGCCATTATTCCCCACTCTTTGAAAGACCAAGCAAATGCTTTCCACTTTTAGCTGCTGTGTGAGGCACTGAAGGCGAATCAGGAACAAAGAAGACCCTCAGTCTCCTCCAGGGCTTGGGTGTGCTTGAGACTTCTGGCAAACTTCTGCTGGAAATTAGTTGGAGACTCAGGGCATGTATGTAATGTCTGTCTTAGCCTAAAAGCATTAGGTATAAAAAGTAGAAAAATTTTTCACCTTTTGCCTTGAGAACATCATAATCCCCCTCAACTCAAACATTCTAATTGACTGCAGGGGAATAGTTTTTGTCTACATCTTTTCCACTGGGGGGGGGGGGGAGTTCATTCTCTGATTTTCCAAAGTCTGAGAAATGGAGTTTTATTTTATAACTCTAAGGTAGTCTTAACATTTTTTTTTCACAAAATGCTGAAAAATGTGGCTAGCAGAAACAACCCAAGAACCAAGCTTTTAGCCCCAGTGATGTGGATATTGCACATGCAAAAACCACGAGACTGGAACTAATTTATCTGATCACTTCAGCTGTTGTTATGCTTTCCCTCTCAACCTTTAAACTAACAAAGCACAGTGAAGAAAGAAGAAAAAAAGAGGCATGAGAGTCTGTCTCTTTTTAAATTGACTTTGCAAGGCAGACAGTTTTATAGCTATTTCTGTCCCTCCACCCACCACCACCTCCCAGGATTTGGGTGGGGGTCTAGCTGAGACATTTCTACCTCGAAAAAAATCACCTGACGTAGGCTCTTGGATAACTCTTCCAAGGCTGAGTTATCTCTGCTTTTATATCCTGAGTGTCTCTAAGGCTGATGAAGATATTAGCTAACTAGGGCATTTAAAAAAAAATAGAGCTTTAAAGAAAGTGTAAGTGCCATTATGTTCATATTGAGTCTAGGAGTCAAACTACTTCCCTCACCATCTTTCCTACTTCCTGACTCTTAGGAATCTTCCTTTAGTTTATTAATTTTATAGATAAGAAACTGTCCTAGAAACAAAGGCTTCTAGAGTTTGTTTATTCTTCTTTAACTTGGGAGTACCATGTCTGGAAACAAAAGTCAAATTTTCTGTCTTACATTTTGTCTCCTCCCTCTTGGCAAAAGTAGCTGAAAAGTGATAGAAAATGCTGAATAACAGAAAAGTATCAATGTGTTTGACACCCATGACTGAAATGTCATGATCGTGTTTGTCAATAAAAAAAATAGCTGTCTGCACATCAGGCAATTACTGTGTATGTTTTGGAAGGAGAATTATTTATTAAGAAAGTCATCATAAATAACCCATACAGAACACAGAAGCTAGGTAGGCAGAGAATAGGCTTTTGTAGGACATTTATTCCATACCTTAAGAGCTTCATGGTTTTCCTTAACTTTCAGACAGAGATACTACGCAGAGAGAAATTATGCCTTTCATGTGAGTTCTGATACCAGTTTCTCAATATCTTGCTCCACAAATTTCAACACAAAATTTAAACCTGAATGTGCTTATTAGGAATTTTACAAAATGCTCTTTGCTGACAATGCTTTTGATACATCATGTCAAAATTCTTAATTTCCCCTCTGGTAAAGCAGGCAAAATTCTGAGATTCACTGCATTCATTCTGGTTCCTAAGACAGTGTCCACCTGATGGTTTATAGTACAGAAATCAAACCAGCCACTATGGCTTAGCAGTCATTTCCCATGGAAGATAATACTGGCCTTCTTAATGCTGGGACTCATGGGCTTGTTGATGTGGCTTTCTGGTGCGCCAGAATCTCCTGGCAGCTCCTGTACACTTCAATCAAGCAGTCCAGCCGGGGCTTGGCACTCTTGAATTCCAAAGGGGAGAAATGCAGAGTCAGGTGAACATAAGAGAGTTCTTAGTGGTTCTGCATCCACATGCAAGCTCAACCTCTCACCCACATTAAGGGTTCTAACTTGCACAGGTGTGAGCTCAGAGAGGCAAGAAATCCAAACCTCAGAGCATCTTGTTGGGAAAATTCCCAGCTAGCCCCACAGACCAGCCTGAGATTGTACAAGGCACACATCAAAAGACAGCATTTTAATCCATGGTGGTACACGCCTATAATTCCAGCAGTCTGGGAGACGGAGGCCGGAGGGGAACAAATTCAAAGCCAGCCTCAGCAACTTAGCAAGACCCTATCTCAAAATAAAGTAAAAACAGCTAGGGATGCGGTTCAGTGGTAGTGCACCCCTGGGTTCAATCTCCAGTACCAAAAAAAAAGGATGGTTTTTTAAATCTCCAAATTTCAGGACAGCAAGAGGAATAACAAGGATGGACCTTAAATAGTGTCACAAGTTGTGAAATAGACCTCACAGATAAGCAGGACAGTTTAATAAGTAAATTCAGAAAATCGTTTTATACTATGAAATGGAAAACAACCAAAATTAAAAGAAAAGCCACAGAATGTGAAAAATATATATATGGAAAGTGTATTTAATAAAAGTTTGCTGCTCAAAATATACAAAGAATTGTTATGAATGCATAGTCAATATCTAGATTTTAGAAGAGATGCACAGTTTAAAATAAGAGCTAATAGGTGATACTTATAAGAAAATATGAAAAATATCTTTAAAGCAATACAAATAACTTTAAAATGCCTCTACTTACACATTAAATTAAAAAACAGATAAGCCATTGTTTGCCAAGACTTTAGAAAAACAAGTTCAAATTCCAGAGTATAGTAAAGTTGTTCAGTCTCTAGAGCCCAATTTCAAATATAAAAATCTATAAGATTGGGCTGAGATTGTAGCTCAGTGGTAGAGTGCTCACTTAGCACATGTGAGGTACTGGGTTCAAACCTCAGCACCACATAAAAATGAAATAAAGATACTGTGTCCACCTACAACTAAAAAATAAATTTAAAAAAAATCTATAAGACTATAAAGTTTAATAAAATAATTTTGAACTTTTATGCAAAATAATTTTGTGCAGCTTTCTTAAATCTTTCATAAAAAGGGAAGGGCAGTGAGAGCAAATTATTATATATAATTACTACCAGTCATGATGGCACACACATGTAATCCTAGAAACTAGGAAGGCTGAGGCAGGAGGATTGTAAGTTTGAGGCCAGCCTCAGCAACTTAGTGAGGCCCTAAGCAACTTAATGAGACCCTGTCTCAAAATAAAAAATAATATCTGAGAATGTAGCTCAGTAGTAAAGCATCCCTGGGTTCATTCCTCAATACCAACATATATTTATATAGATTTAATATTATTTACCTACAAAGTAATTTATTATAATCATGGTTGCATAGTGTTGTTGTTATAAGAACAAAACAAAATATTACCTAGATATAACTTAAAAAGTTAACAATAAAATGGCTAAGTAAATTGACATTCCAATATGCTAGAATGCAATAAAATTATTTAAAATAATAAGCATAATGGCCTTTGTAAAAAAAAAATGAATGTTAGATGATCATTAACATTTATGTAAAAGTGTACATTAAACTGACAGGGTTAAAGTTAATGAATGGTGATTTGTATGCATGAGTTGTAATATGTTTGATTATTCTCTTCTATATAATTTGTATGAATTCCTAATATTTTACCTCAGAGGGGAACTTTTAAAATAACTAAAATCCTCATTTTCACTAAAATTAGTTGTCAGGTATCTTCCAATACTCTGACAATAGATGTTTACATTCCTACTGAACTTAAGTGGCAGTAGATATGCAGAAAAGTAAAGGATTTCATTGGAGAAAGGAAAGTGTTCTGTGCTCACCTGGAAGACAGGTACTACTTGGGATATCATATGTGGTTCCACTGGATCCTTCAATAAAATGCAGAGGTAGTAAATCACCTTCTGCTGTAAGAAAATAAACCAAATAACAGAGGTCTAAGTGAAACTCACTTTGTGTTCTTCTTTCTTTAAGGGAAGGCTCAAAACTGTCATAAATGGTTATTTCTAAGTAGCAGAATGCTTGATAGCTTCTAAAGTAAGGGAGAAGTATATTTTCATTCCTTAAAAAAACAAAACAAAGCTGCGCACAATGGCACGTACTTACTATCCCAGCAATAGCTCAGGAGGCTGAAACGGGAAGATCACAAGTACAAAGCTAAACTCAGCAACTTAGTGAGACCCTAAGTAACTTAGTGAGACCCTGATTCAACATAAAAAACAAAAAGGCTGGGGCTATAGCTCAGGTAAAGTGCCCTGGGTTAAATCCCCAGTACAAAAATAAATAAATAAAAGCTGGGCACTTAGCGCATACCTGAAGTTCCAACTGTGTCTAGAAATTGGAGACCAGCAGAACAACACAGTGAAATTTTGTCTCAAAAAAAAAAAAAGCAGAGATGATTTTTAAAGCTGGGCTAGAAGATAAAGTTAAAATGCTGATTCCATGAAAATCTGCTGTGTCTCTAAAAACATTCRTGCACTGCATAACAATGTTTCAGTCAATGATGATGAGACTTTAAGATTATAATGGAGCTGAAAAATCCCTATTGCATAGTGGCATTATGTCATAGTGCAATGTATTTTTTTTTTAGTGCAATGTATTTCTTATATGTTTGTGATTATGTGGGTATAGACAAATATGTGCTGCCATATAAAAGTAGATATGAAGTATGTAAAGTACATAATACTTAATAATGATAATAAACAAATAGTATTGGTTTATGTATTTACTATATTAACTTTCTGTTGTTATAGAGTATTGCTACTTACAAAAACATTTACTATAAAGCGATATGCCATGTTATGCTGGCAGCAGCCTCCAACACCTCATGTTCACTGCATCTCTTGATTACACCAAGAGGCTATGGTTAGCCAGGCACAGTGGTGCATGCCTATAATCCCAGCAACTCAGGAGGCTGAGGCAAGACAATTACAAGTTCAAAGCTGGCCTTAGCAACTTAGCAAGGCCCTAAACAACTTATTGAGACCCTGTCTCAAAATAAAAAACAAAACAGGCTGGGGGATGTGGCTCAGTGTGTAAAGCGCCCCTTGGGTTCAATCCCTGGTACCAAGAAAAAAAAACCAAAAAAACAGCGGTTATGATTCAGTGACACACACTGTGTAAGTCTGTGTAAATATACTTCATGATGTCTGCTCAGTGAGGAAACTGGCTAACAATGCATTTCTCATAATATATCCCATCACTAAAAAAAGTACAACTGTAAAGATAGTTATCTTTTCAATGGAAGTTTGTTTCACTTTTGTAGTTTATATTCATGCCAGCTAAAAAGGAAACACTTCAAGATTTGGACCAGAGGGTCCTCAAGTATAATTCTGTGTGATCAAATGCTTTAGGTAATAAGACTCAAGTTTAGATGAAGGAACATCCCATGAACTGACTATCTCCTCCAGAGAAACCTGTAATACTCATCACTTAAACACTTACCATGTAAATAGCCTCGTTAATGACAACATCTTTGACTTTGCCCATCTCTATGAAGGTAGTGCTTTCTTTGCCTGAAGCATAGGATGAAGTCATCTGGATGCCAAGGGAATCAATAATTAACAAAGTCTCTTGATCAATCTTCACAAAATGGAGGTACCCAAGCAAGCCTAAGAGGGTGATGGAGATGGCAGCAGAGAGGATCATGCTGTTCTGAAGAGAGAGCCAGACACAGGCAGTAAAATTACCAAGAGGTCCTCTGCGTATATCTGTGCCATAAGACAAGTCAATTGGGCATTGAGAAAAAAGGCTTTGCTCTGCTGTGAGCTAAAAAGATGAGAAGAACATGCATGGAAGAAGAGGAAATCACTTTTATTCAGACTCTGAAGTGCTATAAAGGTATACAGTGAAATGAATCCAGATTACTAATGACTAAGTCTAGGGAGAACTTTCAGCAAAATGCTCCCATCATACCAGCCTCAGAAATTATTCTATCAGGCACAATGACACATGCCTATAATCCCAGCAATTTGGGAGGCTAAGGCAGGAGTAGAAGTTCAAGGCCTGCCTAGGAATTTTAGTGAGATCCTCACTATATTTGGTGAGCCCCTGTCTCAAAGTAAAATAAAAAGGGTTTGGAGGTAGCTTAGAGGTGGAGTGCCCCTAAGTTTGATCCCCAACCCCAAAAAAGAAAAAAAAAAAAAAAAACTTCCAAAACTGCATCTTAAGGACCAAATGTTTTCCTCATGTGCTCCCTCAGCAGACAGTACAAAATTATGGACTGAAC